TTATCAGTCACTCGCAATTCTAGTTTCTCTCCGGCCCCTGGTAACCCTTGATCTACTTTTTTCTCTATGGTTATGCCTACGCTGGACATTTCATATAAATAGAATCATACAATATGTGGCCTTTTGTGACTGGCTTCTTTCAGTTACCATAATGTTTTCAAGTTTCATCCATGTTGTAGAATGTATCAGTATGTTATTCCTTTTTATTATGGAATAATACTCCAGTCTACGGATATAGCAAATGTTGTTTATCCCCATTTCAGTTGATGGACGTTGGGTTATTTACACTTTTTGGCTATTATGACTGATGCTGCTATGAACTTTGGTGTACAGGTTTTTGTGTTGACGTGTTTTCATTTCTCTTGGGTATAGACCTAAGAGTGGAATTTCTGGTCCATATGATAACTCTGTCTTTAAGCTTTTAGGAACTGCCAGGCTGTTTTCCAAAGCAACTGCAACATTTTACATTCTCACCAGCGGTGTATGAGGGTTCCATTTTCTCCACATCCTTACCAACCCTTGTTATTGTCTGTCTTTTTTCATTCTAGGCATCCTACTAGGTGTGAAATAATACATCATTGGGTTTTGATTTGCATTTCCCAATAAGTAATGATGTCAGGCATTTTTTCATGTGATTACTAGTAATTTGTACATCTTCTTTGGAGAACTGTCTGTTCAAATCCTTGCTCCATTTTTAAATTAGATAATAAGTCTTTTTATTGTTGAATTGAAGGGGTTCTTTATATATTCTGGATACAGGTCCTGTAAGAGATACCGGATTTGCAAGTGTTCTCTGTGGGTTGTTCTTTTACTATGTTGATGGTATCATTTGCAGCATACGTTCTTAATTTTGTTGAAGTCCAATTTATTTATTTATTTTTCTTTTGTTGCTAGTGCTTCTGCTGTTGTATATAAGAAACCATTACTTAACCCAAAGTCATGAAGATTTATCTCTATGTTTTCTTCTAAGATTTTTATAGTTTTAGCTCTTACATTTAGTTCTATGATCCATTTTGAGTTAATTTTTGTATATGGCATGAGGTAGGGATCCAACCTCATCCTTTTGTATGTGAATATCCAGTTGTCCAGGTACCATTTATAGAAAAGACTATTCTTTCTCCATTGAATTTTTTTTTGTTCGCTTGTTGAAAATCACTCGACTGTAAGTGTATGGATTTATTTCTAGACACACTATTCCATTCTGTTTATCTCTATGTCCATCCTTATAGCAATACCACATTATGGTTTTGTAACAAGTTTTGAAATTGGGAAGTGTGTCCTATGTGTCCTCCAACTTTGTTCTTCTTTTTCAAGATTGTTTTGGCTATTTTGGGTCCCTGTCACATCCGTATGAATTTTAGCATCAAATTGTCATTTTACGGAAAAAAGGCAAGTGGGATTTTCATAGAGCTTGCATTGAGTCTGGATCAATTTGGAGAGTATTGACATTTTAACAATATTTAGCTTTCCAATCCAAGAACATGGGATGTCTTTCCCTTTATTTATATCTTCTCTGTTTCTTTTAACAATTTTTTGTAGTTTTCAGTGTACAAGTCTTATTAAACTTCTTTGTGGAATTTATTCCTAAGTATTTTTTTGATGTCATTGTAAATGGAATTGTTTTCTTAAATCATCTTCAGATTGTTCATTGCTAGTTTATAAAAATACAATTGATTATTGTATATTGATCTTTTACCCTGCAACCTTGCAGAATTCATTTATTTGTTGTGGTAGGTTTTTTTGTGGGTTCCTTAGGATTTTCTGTATACAAGGTCATTTCATCTGTGAATACAGATAGTTTTATTTATTCCTTTCCAATTTGATACATTCTGTTCTTTTTTTTCTTGCCTGAATGCACTGTCTAGAACCTCCAGTACAATGTTGAATAGAAGTTTTGAGAGTGATATTTTGTATGTTTCCTGATATAAGGGATAAAACATTCAGTCTTTCACCATTAAGTATGGGATTTTTGTGGTAAGAGAGCATGTTCTTTATACCAATCCTTTGAAATTTCCTAAAACTTTCAGTTCCTGAAATGGCCCAGGGTGCAGTCAATTTTTTATACATTCCCATTTGTGCTTGAAAATAATATGTATTTTATAGTTGTTCAATGCAGTGTCCTTATATGTATCTGTTAGATCAAGCTTATTGATTATATTGTTCTGTACCAGGAGTCAACAGGCTTTTTCTTAAAAAGCCATATAGTAGATATTTTAAAGATTTGCAACTCTCTCAACTGCTGTTGTAACACAAAAGCAACCATAGGATACATCAATGAATGATTATAGCTGTGACTCAATAAAGCTTTATTTACACAAATAGGTGACCAGCACATGGGCTGTAGTTTGCCCACCCCTGCTTATTACTATTAGTTTTTTTTTTAAATCTGCTTTTGATTAACCAATTGCTGAGAATAAGTTAAATTCCCTCTATGATGATGAATTTATCTATTTCTCCTTGTTTCATATATTTTGAAGATATGTTAATAGATGCATACAAGTTTAAGATAATATCTCTAGTTTTTAAACCTTTTTGTCTTAATATAGTCACTTTATCTCTAGTAATGATTTTTGTCTTAAAGTCTATTTTGTCTAATGTTAATATAGCTTATAGTAGCTTTCTTTTTAGTTGCTATTTGCTCAATATGCATTTTTTTCATTCTTTTTTTTTTCAACCTTTCTAAGTGGTTGTTTTAGGAGTGTCTCATAAGTAGCATGTGACTGTATTTTGTAAATGCAATCTGATCATCTTTGACTTTTAAATAGATCATTTTATCCATTTGCATTTATTATAATTACTAATATCTTTGGAATTATTTCTACCAAGTTTTTGTGTTTTTTTGTTTTTCTTACCTCTTCTGTTGTTCTTTTATTTCCTTTCTTTCTTTTGGATTGACTATTTTTTCTCTTTTTATTTTTTCCACAACAAAGTTTGTTAGTTATGCCTTCTTTGTATTTTTTTTTTACTGGTTACCCTAGAAATTTTAACCTGCATTCGTTTCAAGTCTCATCAATATATTTACCCTCCATCCAAACAATATTAAGAACTTAAAACATTTTAATTTCTGTCATCCCCTCCTAATTTGTACTATATTGATGTTCAGGGATTTAGTTCTATTTTAAATACACACACATAAAACATTAGTATTTATATATTAATTGGTTTAGATTTATCCACGTATTTACCACTTTCTTTGCAAATCATTCCTTTTTGCATCTCAGACCTTCTCAATGGGAATATTTTTCTTTTGCTTGAAGTACATGATTTAAAATTTCTCAATTAGGGTTATTTGGTTGCAAACTGTCTCGGGTTTTGTCTGTCTAAATGTCTTTACTTCCACCCTCATTTTTGAAACAAAGATATTTTATTGAGTATATAATTCTCAATTGAGTTACTTTACTTTTAGCACATTGAAGATATTATGATATTATATAGTGCCTTCCAATGTTGTTTTTGAGAAGTGAAAGTTTATCTAATTATTCCTTTGAAGGTAATCTGTCTTTTCCCTCTGGCTTTTATTTTTTTAACATCCCCTCTTTGTCTTTGGTGTTATGGTGTTATGATTTGTCTAATTTTGGATTACTTTTTATTTATTCTGCTTCGGATATGTTGGATTTCTGAATCTTTCAAGTATTCAGTTCCTTAATTCTGGAAAAATCTTGGCCATTCTCTTCAAATATTACCTTTGCCCCATTCTTTCTGCTCTCCTCTGGAACTCTGATTAGACATATATGTTAGTATTTATCACTCTATCTTATATATCTCTTTCATTTTTTTTCATTTCTTTGCATAATTTTTTCAGATCTACTAGTTCACTAAATCTCTCAGCAACTGTATCCAATCTATCAAACCTGTCCATTGAGTTCTTGATTTAAGTTTTCGACTTCCAGTTCTAGAAGTTCTCTCTCTCTTTATTTTCATTAGTTTTGGTAATTTTTGTAGTCTCTTGCTTTTAACTCATATTTCCCCCTTTCATTTCTTTAAAAATAAAAATATATACACAGACAGAGAGAACAGTTTAGTGGTTACCAGGGGGAAGGGGGTTGGGGGGTGGGCACAAGGGGTGAAGGGACGCGTTTATATGGTGACTGACAAACAATAATGTACAACTAAAATTTCACAATGTTATGAACTATTATGACATCAATAAAAAAATAGAAAGATATGTATTTGATATTATATATTCTAATACTTACATTCTTTGTGGATCTGAGTCTGCTCTTTGTTGTTTTTTTTTTCGTTTTTTTTTTTTTTTGCTAGCTCTTGTCCAGATGCTTCGTGTTTTCTAATTTTTTTTAAATTTTGGTCTCATATCTTTTGGAACTTTATCTGTTGTAATTTTTTGAAGTCTGAGTAGCTTCCTCCATAAAGGAGATATTTATTTGCTTCTGCCAAGCATCTTTGGGGGCTGCCAGCCTGGAAGCACTTTAAATATATTGTTAGTTTGAGATTTCTCAGATTACCCAGATAGTTTTATACTGCATATTATATGAGTTCTCACTTGTGTTTGCCAATTCTTAGGAAATATTTCCTTCCTCTCCACTCGGTACCCAATTTTTGAGATAATCAATTTTCTAACAGTCCCTTGGAGTGAAATGTTTATTTCTATTTCACCCTTACATTAAGGATGTAACATTTTGAGATGCCAGCTTTATAGGGTCTTCAGTAAGATTGCCTATCTCGAGGCTGTTCTGGGTTTTGTTTCCTGATCCCATACTCCATGAACTATCTTTTATAGCAAATGATGTCAAGGTAAAAGCTGGTTTTAGTGTTCATCACCATGGGTTTCTATCTTCACTTAATTTATGACTTCTAAATAGTCTTTATAAACAGCTTCCCAGATCATTCCTGCATTTAAGATGGTTTTTAAAAGTATTTTATCAGCATTTTTAGTTGTTTTTAGCAGGAAGGTTTATGAGGATTCCTATTCTGCCATACTGCTGGAAAAAGAAGTCCAGCTATTTTATATTTTTGAGTTGACTTTCCCTTTTTCCTTCTAGCTCCCCATATATACTGCACCACCTCTCCAGTCTAAATATGTTAAAGAGCAGCCTGGTCATTTACAAATGAGCTTTGCATCCATCCGCACTACAACTGGTCATTATATTGGCTGGTGCATGGTAAGTCAATTCTAATAGTGGTTCAATATTGGAGGTTTCTGATTTGTATTACATACCAATCGTTCCATTTACCCATTGATATGTAAGAAACTACCCAAAAAGTTAGTGGTTTAAAACAGCAACCGTTCTATTACAGTTTATGATTTTGTGAGTCAGGAATTTGATCAGAGTTTGGACAGGTGATTCTTCTGTTGCCTGTGGTGTTGACAGAAGTCACTCAGTGGTATTCATCAGGTGAATGGGCTAATCTAGAGGGTCCAAGACAGCTTTATTCTCGTCTCTGGCACTTTGTCAAAGGTGGCTAGAAGGATGGTCTCAGCTGGCAATATTGACTGAAGCAGCTACACATGGCCTCTCAGGCATGGTGGTCTCAAGGTAGTCAGATAACTTACATGGGTAATTCAAGGCTCCTAGAGAAAATGTTACAAGAGGCCCTAAACAGAATCTGTCAAGCTTACCTATCCTCAGATGTCCAAGGAAGTCACTTCTATAGCATTCTATTGTTAAATCAAGTCACTAAGGCCAACCAAGTTTTAAAGCGAAGGAAATTAGATGCCACCTCTCAGTACGAGTGGCACCAAAGGATTTGTGGCCATATTTAACCTATACTATACCACTACTGCATAGATTAAAGTAGTTTAGCAAGTATTGGGCACCTAGCTTGTACCAAACATTGTTTGCCCTTATACATGATGTTCTGAAATTATTTCTGAATTGTTCCTTGTTTGGCTGAGCAAAATGTTCGCTGGTTGAGTTTAGCTCATAAGACCATTCTGACTCCAGTCAGCTATTGGGCAAAATAGAATTCACCTTATTTTAATACTTAGCCTTCAATCAGCATTAATCAGCAGTAAAGTGGTAGAGTACGCTGATAATGATACTGGTTTCATTATCTTCACATCAACATGGTGTGTTAGCATCAATATCTCCAATGTCAGTGTTATGATGATAATGTTGGTATTATTGTCGTCATCATTCTGAACTAATAACCACACAACTTTTCCTCAATTCTAACCTATCTAATTGTGAACCCTTATGCTTTTTTGTTACTAATCCATTCTTTTTAAAAATTCTAATGATCTTATAAAATACCAAATCTGTGAACTCTGGTCATTCCAGATGATATTTCAAACATCTGATGAATACATGATGTTATTTTTGAAAATTTGTGCCTTTCAAACAATTCTAATAGTACTAGTTATACTACATACTTTTAATAGTTTGATCTCAGAGAGAAATAGCTTAACTAGTTAGAATCTGAATCATGCCCCTGAGGCAATGCCAACAGCTGGATGATTCAGACTTAAATCTCCTTAGACGTAATTTTCCATAGCATTCTAAAGTTGTTTTCTGTGAGATAAATTGTTCCTGAAATATTTTTAAATTGCTGTTGTTACTATCACCCAATTTAAGACTAAAAGAACTTATTATTCTGTTAATATACTGAAATGAATAGATTGAAGAAGAGCACTTTTGAATGAATTTCATCTTCAGTCTAAATAACTTTGCCTTTCTAATTTTCCCCTAAAAACATAATTTATTCTTTAAAAAGTACTTCTGGCTCAAATTACGTTCTACATTAAACTTAGAATCATGTAGAGCAAATTCAGCTCCTACTCCTACGTGTTTTGAAATTTAGGTAGCAGTGATCCCCAGTGGTAAAAGTAGATTCCTAAACACAGCTAAGGAAAATTTCCCAAAAGAAGTGACCAGTTTTCTTTCTCAGCAGTTACACAATTCCCAATTAATTGGTCAATAGGTATTATAACTATGAAGGTGGAATTTTCTCAAGGGACAGTCCCTAAAGAGAAGAGAGGTATCTCAGTGGCAGTTAGGGTCTGTGCTAGTTTGTACAGCTTTAAACCATGATGAACAGGATAAAGCTCTGCATCTCTGATCACCATGAAAATATCTGAGACAAAGTTACTAATACCAAGATATCTCAATAGCAATAACTTATTCTTTCTTGTCTAATATAATCATTTCTATTTGCTTTGAAAATCCCTTGTGTTGTTATTTTTATCCCGTGGTTTCATAGCATCTAGTTTTTGTTGTTGTTTTTGTCCCATGATTTCATAGCAGCTAGTTCAGAGAAAGAGACCATGTATTTGGATTGTGTTTTCTGGTTCCTTCAATAGAGTACTGCATGACTATGGGCAATTACTATGAGTAAATCACTCTGTGGCTTCATTTTTCTTCTGATGTAATTGAGCTAGTACCTATCACTCAATAAATGTGTGTAACAATATTTCTTGCATTAAAATAAATTAGTTATAAACAGGTAAAAGGAAAAATTTGATTTAAAGCTTTAATCCCTCCAATGGGTTAATATAATCTTAATTTGTAAAGAATTTATGTTCCTATTTAAAAACAAGATGGACACTAGTCTGTGTAGGATGATTTCTATCCTGAGATAAATGTCTTATTTAGATTTTTTTTCTCATTCTAATGCACACTAAGAAAAGAAAAAGATGAAGCGTTTTTCTGTAGTCTTTTTGTTGTTGTTTTCTCCACAAATCATTATGTTGTTGTGCTGCATCTTTATTAATCAGATGTTGCTTCTAAGCTGAAATATATCTCTCTTCATGCTTTATTTAAATTTCATTCATTTTTCTAGGACATTATAAAATAAGATGATGAATCTTTGTATTTCTGCAATAACTTTTCTGTGAGTTGCTCTGATTATTTTATAGGTATTACTTTACCCATTTATATGAGGAAATTAGTAAACAAGTATTATCCATGTTAAATAGAATGAAAAGCAAGAAATGATGAGAAGCTAAGTTCAACAAGTATCCCCATAGTAAATAAATAGTAAAGATGGATTTAGATTTGGGTGCAATGCCAAGTCAGCATTTTAATATAATCTCAGAGATGTGGACTGTTTGATCTAATTATCAAACATCTTCAAAAATGCAGCTGTCCTTTTTTTCCCCTTTTTGCTTAGGGTGTTTATGTCTTTGTGAAAAATGGGATAATGGATACAGTACAATTTGGAAAAGGTAAGTGAGTGAACCATCGATAATTAGGAATGTTCTATTGTCTTTTTAACTTGCAAGGTTTAAATGTGAGAAAAACGGACATGGTATGTTGTTCATTATCATGTTTCACCAGCTCAGAAGATGCTCTGTATAGCAATTTATGATAATAATAAAGCAATAGTATCTATCATTTCTTTAGCAATTATATGCTAAGGCACTGTGATAAGCATTTTACATAATTAATCTAATATAATTTTGTAGCATTTCTGTGAGGGTTAGTATTATAATTACTCCCATTTTACAGATGAGGAAACTGGGGTTTAGAAAAGCTAAGAAGGTTACCAAGGTCATGTAGCTAGTAAGTGGCAGCACCTGGACTCAAACTGAGGTCTGTTTTAGCTACAAAGTCCATATTATATACTCATAAAGCATAAATTGGAAACATGCCTCCATGTTATGAACTAGTTTAAATACGTACTGCTTGCTGTTAAAATGCCTAGTATTTTGCTATCGATTGCTAGGAAACAGTATACCTGTTAGTCACCCTAGAATATTTGAGCTAATGTTGGAAAGCAATCGTATTTGACTCTTTAGTTTGATAATAGTTTTTGGCAGCAGATATAGCTTCCTGCTATTCTTGGCCTAAGCCTGTTGCCAAATAAATGTGTATGGGAGACAGAAAGATCAGCTAAAATTTTAAATGTCTCCATGATGTTGATGATCTGTATACGTATTATCATTATTTAATCTAGGTAGTAATTAATTCCAAATTACATTCCTCATCAGTCTTGAGGAATATGATAAGTGATTGCCATTAAATAATTAATCATGATAGAAGAGTGTCTTTTTTGGATTGCAAGCCAAGAAATCTGTACTTTTGCCCACTCTCCATCTACTTTTTGTCTAGGCTTACTTCTCATCCTGATCGTTGGTTTTAACCAAGAGCAACAGCTGCTCTGAGGTTATTGGGGAGTAGTGTCAAGCAGGGTCTAGTAGCTGCATGTATCTTTAGACTGTTGTTCAAAGTTCCCTAATAAAGTATCTATTTCAGTTATTATTGGATCGTACCAATTTTTGAACAGATAAGGCCAGGAGAATTTCCATTATGGGGATATAATACGTACACAATCAGGAATTTACTTTATAGTAATCCATGTTAAGATGTGCATTCTATCATCATATTTTATTAAAGAGTAATAATTATCTCTATTATTAAGAAAACAAATATCATTAAATCAGCTATGGAAGGAAGATTTTATTTGGTAACAAGTAACTATTATACCTAGCTTTTTAAGTTGCTGCTCAAATCATCATTTTGTGTAGCTCTTTTGAAGAGTGTTTAAAACATCTGCTATTATCTTAGCAAATCTCTTTAGCTTTTCTCCATCATATATATAGATTGCCCAATTGTAGTAAGTCATTTATGTTAATTTTTAACTGATTTCTTGAGATGCATATGTCTATCTGAAGAATCCACCTGGAGATTTTCTTCCGAAAATTGGAGTGATTACAGTCTCAGGATTGGCAGGCTTTGTTTCAGCGAGAAAAGGTAGGGTTTAAAAATACATATTATCTTTTTCAATGCCTTTATATTAATTTCTGAATTTTATTGCAACAGGAAAACCTCATATCCTTTATTGAATATTATTAGTATAGGCTATCGTAAAAATTTTTTAATTCTGTAGTACAGCATGTTTACTTTTATAAAGACTTTTTGTGTTTTCAAAAATATAGCTATTCCACTATGCAGAAATAGAAGTACAATGATGTACACCTGAAATTTTTACAATGTTATAAACCAATGTTACTGCAATAAACAAAAAATTAAAAAAAAATATATAGCTATTCCAAAAGATGTTCAACATCATAAGTTATTGAGGAAATGCAAATGAAAACCAAGGCGAGATACCACTACACACCTATTAGAATGTCTAAAATTAAAAAGACTGACCATACCTAGTGTAGTCGAGAATGCAGAGCAACTAGAACTCTCATACACTGCTGGTGGGAATACAAAATGGTACAGCCATTCTGGAAAATAGTTCAACAGTTTCTCATAAAGTTAAACATACACTTACCATGAGTCCCAGTAATCCGCTACTGGGTATTTACCTTGGAGAAATGAAAAACCTGTACACAAATATTTATAGTCACTCTATTAATCGCCAAAAGCTGGAAACAACTTAAATGTCTTTCAACAATAAACTAAACTGTGGCACATCCGTACAAAGGAATACTGCTCAGCAACAAAAGGAATGAACCGTTGACACATGCAACAATCTTGATGAATCTGAGTTAAAGAAGCCAGTCTAAAAAGGTTACATATTGTATGATTCCATTTATATGACTTTTTTAAAAAGACAAAACTGTAGTGACAACAAGTCAGTGGTTCCCAGGTGTTAGGAGTAGGGAGAAGGGGTGACTACAAAGGGATAACATGAGGGGGCCGGCCCCGTGGCTTAGTGGTTAAGTGCGCACGCTTCGCTACTGGCAGCCCGGGTTCAGATCCCAGGCGTGCACCAACGCACCGCTTATCCGGCCATGCTGAGGCAGCATCCCACATACAGCAACTAGAAGGATGTGCGACTATGACCTACCACTATCTACTGGGGCTTTGGGGAGAAAAAGGGAAAAAAAAAAAGGAGGATTGGCATGGATGTTAGCTCAGGGCTGATCTTCCTCACACACACACAAAAAAAAAACAAAGGGATAACATGAGATATTTTTTAGGAGTGATAGAACTGTTCCATATGCTGATTGTAGTGGTGGTTATATGACTTTATACATATATTAAAATTGATAGAACTATACACCAATAAGGTTGAATTTCCTGTGTGACCATTTAAAAATAAAATTTTAAAAATATATAGCTGTTCCTATTAAAATTGTAATTTATCATTTTGTTTCTCATCTTCTAGATAACTTTATTTTTTAAAATATCTTAAGAGTCTCTAGCTGTCAAAAAAAAAGATCTTGAGAGTCTTACGTTAACGTAAAAATGTATACTAACCACTTAAACTACTTTTCTCTGCTTAGTCATAACCACCCATATTCTGAGGGCTATATTAAGGATTTGAGACAGAGATGCTGATAGCTCAGAAAAAATTTTATTCCCTCTCGATCTCATCTTGACCAAGGTTGCTGGAACTTATATCAGCCAGCTCAGAATGGACTTTGTGAAAGTAGACAACTCACTCACTACTCTCATTCAGCACATGAGGCTTGGTATAATTTGATTTCTTTTCCCCCTCTTTTCCCTCTGTATCTCTACCAACTTTGTCCTCCCCTTCCCACTATACCACTTGTGTAAAGGATCCCCAAGACCATCCCCAGATTTGATGGTTAGCCAGGAAGACTCAGAGGACTCAGCATGTAGTCATATTCATGGCTAAGATTTATTACAGTGAAAGGATGCAAAGTAAAATCAGCAAAGGCAAAAGGCACATGCAGCAAAGCTTAGAGGAAACCAGGTACAAGCTTCCAAGAGTCCTCTCCCAGTGGAATCATATAGGATGCACTTAATTCCTACACTAATGAGTTGTGACAGTACATGTGAGACGTTGTCAACCAAGGAAGCTCATTAGAGACTGAGTGGCCAAGGTTATTATTGGGGGCTGGACACGTTAGCACCATCTTACCTAGCATGTACCAGACTTCCAGAAGGAAAGGAATTGTTCAGCATAAACCACATGTATCATTCAGGGAATGTTTTCTATCAGCGTAGGGGACTGCCTGCCAGTCGAGTTCCCATATGCCATCCAAGGGCTAGTCTTGAAAGCAGGCATTTCTAACAATGGCAGTCTCAGGCATACTGTGTTAACTCTTTTCTGTGCACCATTAAATAACTCTCTTTCATAAGCACATGGTGAATTTTGTATTTGCCCATCTTCCATCTCTGGGTATGGAAATCCCTCTCAGTAGGTGTTACTGCCTCTGCTCCTTACCCAGGCCCTTACTAAGCTGGTACAATTCTCTGGTCAGTAGCTATTTTGATCACCTTCAACTCATCCTCTGTCCATGACTCAAGTTGCCAGTCATTGTGCCCAAACTAAATTATGTGTGGTTGGAAGTCACAGCTCTGAACTAGTCTGGAATTGGATATCAGATACCTTATGGTCGGTTTGCCCAGCTTTAGTCCTTAAAGTAACCTCAACTCAGGTACACCTAATCAGAAACAAAACCTCTGTGAATTATAAGAACATTCCAGCATTCTAACTCTAGCCCATATATCCCATCCCAATAGACCTAACAGTTTCCCTATAGCTAATATTAATGACTCCTTATATCCCATTTTTTTTTCCTAACACTGTGAGCAACTTCTAATTGAATACATATTATAAATTATTCATTAGGAAAAAAATTGAAAACCAAGATCACCATATGTAACAATAGGACTCAAAGAATTAAATGTTGAAGGAAATTGGCCAAAACATATTACTGAATTCTCAGTGAGAAACTCATAATCCACTTGTAAGAGAAAATGTTTCTTAGGTCCTTCACAGTGTCTCCAAATGTCAGAGCTAGAATAATCCAACCCAGTGTTTTTCAAACTGCAGATTTCACTATTAGTAGGTAGTGAAATAAACATAGTGCATCTTAGGAAGCATTTTATTAAAAAATAAAATAGAGAAGAATAGCAAATATCAAAGTGTTTTGTACTTAGTATGGGTAACTATTGTGAAACTTTTGTTTCAGAGGAATGTTTGTGGGATAGGTCATAATGTAAAATTTGTTCTTTAATATGACTCATGGTCAAAAAAGTTTGAAAGCTGTTGGTTTAGTCTAACCCTGTTATGCTACAAATAGAGGTCCAGAGAAAGAAAATCACTCAATGATTTCATAGTACCTAGTACATAGCTAGAGTCCTTCCTACTTATGGAAGTAGGGCTATTGAACCCAAATGATTTTTATTTTCTTGTAGACTGACCTTTCATATCAAGTAAAGAGAGGATAAATGTAAGTCTTTTTAATATTTAAAATGAGACATCAAGGAAAAACTGCCACCTTCCAAGTTTAGGAGCAGCACAGTTAGGAGAATTTGGCTAAGTCAAGGAAACCTACATCCAGAAACGTTAGATCAGTAAAATCAAGAAGCAAACTATAGATACTAGAATAGTAATGACTAGGACTAGAGTAAAGGAGCAACTTAGGATATGTTTTAAAATGCATAGACCCTCTTTACCACTATCACAAAAACCAATCTAAATCTAAAGGAAAGCTAAACTAGAGGCTGAATCAGCCTCCCTAACCACCTCCCCCAAGCTCAGTCTATTGTAGACACGACTGTAGAAGCCCTCTGTACTAATAGTTAAGCCGGACAGAGAAATACCTCTTGTTTTTACCTTCCCTAAACTGTAAAGCTGCCTGTAAACATTGCCAGGTATTTTTCACCTTGGTCTTTACTGATATACCAGATAGGCTGTTTCATTTTTTTTTTTTTAAGATTTTTACTTATTTATTTTTCCCCCCAAAGCCCCAGTAGATAGTTGTATGTCATAGCTGCACATCCTTCTAATTGCTGTATGTGGGACTCGGCCTCAGCACGGCCGGAGAAGCGGTGTGTCGGTGCGCGCCCGGGATCCGAACCCGGGCCGCCAGCAGCGGAGCGCGTGCGCTTAACCACTAAGCCACGGGCCGGCCCGGCTGTTTCATTTTTAAATTAAGGATTGTAAGAGCTGTTCCAGACAATAAAAGAAATCCCATCATCTAATTGCCTAGATCATATTTAGAGTCAAGTGTATCCAGACAAGCATTTAAGATACATATTGTGTTGAACCAACAGTCTTGGAACTAAGCTATGGCTTAGAGTGGTGGGTTTCAAACTATTCTACAGAACCTAGGGTTCCATGGAAGTGTTTAGAGGTGATAGGGATAAGGGAAAAGCTATGCAGGTAGAGCTCAATACTGAGCTTCCCTCCCCCAGGCTAATCAGAGTAGCTTCAAGTTTATAGGTTTTATATATGAAGTTCCTAGTGAAATTCTTTTTGGAAGATTTTCATTTGAAAAGGATTTTGATGTCAAAAAAAAAGTTTGAAAATGAGTCAGATGCTTAGTTAAGGCACTTTTGGAAAGATTATCTCAAGTTACTTGCAATTATTAAATTATTACTTCAGTATTCTAAATCATTGACATGAAGGAGTTATTACCTTTTAAAGTCTTTAGCTGATTAGTTAATTGGATCTTTAACCTTCCTAAGGACTTAATCAAAAAGGATATATTAAGAGAGTCCATTTCAGTTTAACATGGTGTCACAAACATGGTAGTTGATTAATTCTCTGTATTATCATGCTTTATTAGATACCTGAAAAAAATGTCGCTACAACCTTGGGTTTCTTAAGACATGAAAAATACCTACTTTTAAAAAGGAAGAAAATCATCAACCCCCTTTGTGTAGGTAATTATCAGTATTAGATTAAGAATACTTTTCTTAAATTGGACATGACAAATAAGGGGTATTAATTGACTTGTGATCCTTAAGGACATTTTAGCTACCATCTTGATTGGTATTATTACCTACAGAGTAATTTAACATAGGATGATGGCTTAAAGGGGAACAAAGAAAACATTAAAGTTATAAAAGCATCAAGTCTCAGGTAGCATCTGTTTGGAGTTTAATAGTTTGTTTGAATTTCATAGGTTCTAGGTTTAAGAAAATTGCTTATCCACTGGGGCTGGCCACTTTAGGAGCATCTGTTTGCTACCCAGCTCAGTCAGTAATAATTGCAAAGGTAAGTTCTTTTTAAGTGATAGCTTCATTTCAGTGTTTGTTTAAACTCTCAGTGTGACAATATTTAAATGTCATACAGCACCTGCAACATTTAATTTTCAGAGAAATATAGTTGGTATCAACTCTTACGTTGGCAAAATTACATTAGCATCTCAGCATGGTAAATGCCATTCTTAATTACGTGATCATCACAAATAAAGAGGATGAATTTGTTTAAATATAATTTAACAATATAAATGCTGGTTTGAGGATTAAGTTCAGAGACACTGAATTATAATTTATGAGGAGAAATACTGCTCCATTGTTGAGCTGTGCAAAATTCAATTTGTAATTAACAGGAAATTACACCTGCTGGCAGCTGTCAGTTCAGCAGATTAACATAGTGCAAGAAACAACCAATTGATACATAACAAAGGTTTCTGAAGGTAAAAAAAAAATACACACACATAGACATACTCAATTTGGAAACCACCTGGAACCAAGTAACACTTTCCATGAATCTGCATTATAGTTGTTTTATCATTTTCTTGTGAGCTTACCTACAAATCCAGATTCTCCTAATGATTTGAACAGTTTGTGTCAGTACTTACTTTATTTTTACACATATTAAGATTGAGAAGGAGAGCTTTGGGATATGCAGTTTTTTCTTCCTTTCCTTCTTCCCTTAATTACCAACATTTAACATTTCCCCCTCATACTTGAAGCAATGTGTAGTGTTACCAGAAGGATTTTCTGTACCTGTATTCTCATTACTGCATCTCTTTAATTACTGAGGTGGATAAAACTGCCTATTCAGTATTTTGAGAATGTAAAGCATATAGTGCCCTATGTAGTTTGTAATGTGATCAAGCTATAAAAGGTTATAGCAAAGGAAGAGAGCATTATTCTTTCAATGTAGTTATACTTGAGATAATTGGTGGATAAAATAATAAACTTATTTTTAAAAATCTTTTCTAAGAATTTACATAGGAATTAGGCACTTAAATTCATACAGTGTTAGTGCTGAGAGAAACCTTTGAGCTCAGTGCATTCAACTTCCTCATTTTCTCATTTACTGATAAGGAAACTATGGCCCAGTGTAGTTTCACAGTGACTGATTTGTCCAGAGTTCTCTTCAGTTTCAGGTGTCCTGCTTCCCTGTCCATTTTTCTTCCCAGTGCATGATGCTGCCACTGATTCTTTTTGTTTGTTTTAGAGTAATGACTTCGTGTTTTTTTTATCAAATTGGTACCTACTCATCCTTAAATAATTTAAGCATTAATGAAAAGTGTAGGAAAAAAAAACCAACCAACCACCTGAAATTCTTCTATCCAGAAAAATATCAGTGTTAACATTTGATAGAATGCTATTCTAGACATTTCTCCATGCATACATAGAGATAGAAAGATAGATGGGTGAATAGGCAGATACCGTTTCATAAGAAGGGGATCACAATATAGTATGAATCTTATTTTTAATTTTAAAAATAAAATATTTAATTTTACTTTAACAGAAGGAAAATAAAAACAAAAAAATCGCTGAACTTCAAATAAAAATTTTTATGATGAAAGAGATATTAAGGGGCTGGCCCGGGGGGCTGGCCCCATGGCGTAGAGGTTAAGTGCACGCGCTCCGCTGCTGACGGCCCAGGTTCGGATCCCGGGGACACACCGATGCACCACTCGTGAGGTCATGCTGTGGTGGCGTCTCATATAAAGTGGAGGAAGATGGGCACGGATGTTAGCCCAGAGCCAATCTTACTCAGCAAAAAGAGGAGGATTGGCAACAGATGTTAGCTAAGGGCTGATCTTCCTCACACACAAAAAAAGGGGGGGCCCGGCCTGGTGGCATAGTGGTTAAGTGAGCACACTCGCTTCGGCGGCCCGGAGTTCACAGGTTCGGATTCCCGGCGCAGATCAACACACGGCTTGTCAAGCCATGCTGTGGCGGCATCCCATATAAAGTAGAGGAAGATGGGCACGGATGTTAGCCCAGGGCCAGTCTGCCTCAGCAAAAAGAGGAAGATTGGCAATGGATGTTAGCTCAGGGCTAACCTTCCTCACACACAAAAAAAAGCGATGTTAATATGAGTTCCTAAAGTTCTTATATGGTTAAATAATGTTTGGTGCTTAAATTTCTAGAGTTGTGACCTTTGCTTTTCCTTTGACTGTCGTATAACAATGTCATATGTGATATTTGGTGGATTCTAATATATATGTATAGAACATGTGTTCTTAACCTGAGATCCATGATGGACTTCAGAGAATCTGTGACTCCTCCGCCCAAAACTGTATGAAAAATTGTATGTATACAATAGATGCCTTCTACTTTGATATTATCAGGACCCATAGTTAACAATTAATCGAAAATGTTACAGCAGGAAGTTTTTAAAAAATCATAAATATGTACCCTAAATGTTTTATTTCAAATTAAATCATAAATATGTGTTCATTTTTCTCTCTTTTGAAGTAGGGCTTTTCTATGAGTATGGGACTCCTAGTTGAAGGTCCACAGCATCTTTCTTATAGTTAGCCATGTATGTAATATGTCTTTTACTGTTTTCAGTTTAGGTTTCTTTAAAATGGAATGAACACCTAAAAACATTTTTTAAATAATATGAGTGAAGAATCCTCTTAGATTTTTATTATTTCTCCCAGCCTTATACAGTTGTCTTGCCCACCTCTAATTTGACAGTAGTTATTTTTTTAGTAATTCATTTTTGAGTTTTTACAAAGCATTTAACTTAATTTTCCTGACACAACAATTATCTTCACACTCATATTTCATCCTATTATGTTACATATAAATTGTTTAATTAAAGTAAAACTGATGTGGAGACTTGAAAACAAATACAACTTATTCTTGGTAAGCATACAGATCATTTGTGAAAGACAGTACTTGGGCACATTGGAGAGTACCAACTAGCGATGAATATTCAGCATTCTATGAACATCATTTGTTATAAATTTTTTAAACATCTTCAGTTAATCTGACAAGCCTCTTAAAAGGATGTCAGGTGAGAGTTCTTCTACTGAATGTGTATTTTTCTGAAGGAAAAGAGCCCGTTCCTTTCTCCAAGGTGAAAGGTGATCTTTGATTCTCTCCAAGGTGATTCTCCAAGGTGTCTATGATATAAAATAGGTTATGAAATGATAGTCCAGAAGGTCCTTTGAAAAATAAAAGTCACACTCCAGTTATTCACCATTTTGGAAATATACTTCAAGATGGAATTACTCTTTGCTTTTTATATTTGTTCCTCACAATATTTTCATTATTAACTTATATAAAGAGTAACAAGCAACCTGTTTTGAAAACTATAAAATATCTAGGAATAAACTTATCAAATAATGTTTTAAGACCTGTTTTTTAAAAACTATTAAACTTTACTGAAGGGCATTTTTTTAAACTTGAATACATTTAGAGATACATCTTGTTTCTAGATGAAAGGAGTCCACATGGAATGTGGCAGGTGTTTCCAAATTTATAAGTTTAATTCAGTTCTTACAAAATTCCTGGATTTGAAGGGAACATGACATTCATTCAAGCAGTATTTGTTGTCCATCTACCATGTATTGGTAACTCTACTAAGCTATAGCACAGACAATAAAATAGACCAAGAGAACAAAAAAGAACATCCAAAAACAAATATATTGAGTATGTCTTTGTATACATTATGGGGTGGGGTGTGGGCATATGGTAAAGGTGGCATTTCAGATCAGTGTGTAAAGAAAGAATGGATTATTCAAGAAATGTGTTGGAATAATTGACTTTTTGGAAAAATACTTAGACCTTTACCAAAAATCATGCAAAAAGAAATTCCAGATGGAATAACGATCTAATCATAAAACATAATATTATAATAAAAATATTAGAAGAAAAAAGAGAGAGATTTGTATAATCTTGAGATAGGAGAGGCCTTCTTAAGCAAAACACAATCCAGAAACCATCAAAGAAAAAATTAATGTTTTTTACTGCATCAAAATAAATACATTTTGTTGATCACAATATACCATACACAAAATCAATGGGTAAACGAAAAACTGGGAAAACTATTTGCAACATATATAACAAAGGACTAAATAATATCCTTCATATATTAAGAGCCCCTATAAATTGATAGGAAAAAGATTAATGCCTTCTAAGAAAATGAAGAACGTATATGAACAAGCAATCCACAAAATAAGAAACATAAATGGCCTAATATATGAAAGATGCTTAACTTCATCAGCAATCAAATAAATGCAAATGTAAAAGATCATTTAGATGTTGGTTTTTAGCCTTTCAATTTGAACAAGATTTAAAAGATTCCTAATACTGCTACTGGTAAATGGGTAGAAAAACAGACATATACTTATGGGAGTGTAAATTGCTGCAGTATATCCCTGAATTTCTGGAGGCAATGTGGCAGTCTTATCAAAAATTAAAATGTATAATCTTTAATCCAGATATTTCACATCTAGGAACTTGTCGCAAGGAAACACCACAACGGTGTATGGTCCCAGTTGTATGTGTAAGGATGCTAATCACAGCATGCTTATAATTGCCAAAAAAAAAAGGGAAACATCCCACATGTCCATCTATAAGGGATTTGTTAAACAGATCATAATGCCCATATGCCCATCAATAGGGAATTTGTTAAACAAATTGTGGTATATCCATTATAGAATACTAACTATGCAGCTATTAAAAAAGAAGCAGATCTACTGGTATATAAACTGATATGGAAACATCTCTGTGACATATTGTTAAGCTTTTAAAAAATCAGATCTCAAAACAATATGTATAGTGTGATCCCATTTGTATTTAAAAAGGAAATAGGGGGCCAGCCTGATGGCATAGCAGGTTCCACTTTGGCGGCCCGGGATTTGCTGGTTCAGATCCTGGGTGTGGACCTACTCACTGCTCATCAAGCCATGCTGAGGCAGTGCCCCACATAGAAGAGCTACAACTCTACAACTATGATATACAACTATGTACTGGGGCTTTGGGGAGAACAACGAGGAAGATTGGCAACAGATGTTAGCACAGGGCCAATCTTCCTCAAAAAAAAGAACATAGCAGGTAATTCTTTGGAGGAAAGGAAAAGATACCTTCCTACCCAACTGAAGAAAAAAAAAAAAAAGGAAACAAGTCAAGTATATACGTGTGTAGTTTATTTTACAATTTAATTTAAAACATAATTGAGATTGTAGTGTATAATCTATTCTCTAATCTCTTTTTTTCAGTTCAGTGGTTCATCATGGACTTCTGTCCATGTTAGTGCATATAGATCTACTTCATCCTTTTTGGTAGATCTATAAGTATCAGCATTCCATTTGTTTTAAAATAGTATGCATGTGTGGGCCGGCCCCGTGACTTAGTGGTTAAGTGCGTGCGCTCCGCAACTGGCGGCCCAGGTTCGGATCCCAGGCACGTACCGACGCACCGCTTCTCCGGCCATGCTGAGGCCACATTCCACACACAACAACTAGAAGGATGTGCAACTATGACATGCAACTATCTACTGGGGCTTTGGGGAAGAAAAGAAAAGGAGGAGGATTGGCAATAGATGTTAGCTCAGAACCAGTCTTCCTCAGCAAAAAGAGGAGGATTAGCACGGATGTTAGCTCAGGGCTGATCTTCCTCACAAAAAAGAAATAGTATGCATGTGTGTTTATATAAGACTAAACATTGAGGAAGAATATCCACACGGCTATTAACAAAGTTTACATTGGGGGGAGGAAGAGGACTTTCTTTATAATAGTAAATTGATTGATTTTTCTTAAGTGTAGGCATATACTTAGCAAAAACAATAAAAATATGTCTGTTTAAGGAAGAAAACCATAGTTTTTTAAAAATTTATGTTTATATAAAGCATAATTCTGAAAAGCTCCCCAAAACCACTTTACAACTTGAAAAATCAATAGGTATTGAAATTACTTTTACTATAAGGAACAAAAGGATGGGAAAAGAATAGAAAGAAGGAATCAGAAGGAGATTTTCAAAGGGAAAGAAATATGCATGAAAGTAACAGCAGCTTCAGGAATTCAGTCAGCATCCTAGCCTCTGCTTTAGTGTGTTTATAGTTCATTTTTCATTTCATGTTTCTATCAAAAAAGGAGTATTATTCTCTGGAGAAACACACTGATGCTTTTTCTTTGTGACTGGAGAAAGCACCATAAAAATTAAAGCAAATCATTAACTTTGTAGCATCTTAAAATCTCATTTTCTCAGTCAACTGTTTATTATCTCAAACTATCTTTGCCAAACTCCTGTTAAATGGACATAGTTTTTGATTTACATGTTACAGTGTGAATGAAAACTATACATTTTTTAAAGACTTTGTTTTTTTATAGAGCAGTTTTAGGTTCACAACAAAATTAAGGGGAGGGTACAGAGATTTCCGGTACATGCTCTGCCCCCACACATGCATAGCCTCCTCCATTATCAACGTTCCCCACCAGAGTGGTACATTTGTTACAATTGATGAGCTTACATTGACACATCATTATAACCCAAAGTCCACAGTTGACATTAGGATTCACTCTTGGTGTTGTACTAACTCTGTATTTTTTAGCCTTTTACAATGAAACAATTTTTCATATAAGATTTAGAAAATGGGGCTTTGTGTTATATGATCTAGAGATTTACATCTTTCCTATTGATTCTGACCTGGGTGTTCATATAAAATACCTGACATAAGTTTTAAAATATTTGTTATTTTAACTTTTAAAAATATATGTTATTTGACTCACTTGTTTTAATTAGGTAACTGGGAGAAAGGCATATGCTACAGGCCAGCAAATTTATGAAGCAGTTAAATCATTGTGGACAAAAAACAACAAAAAAGAGTCACTTCCTGAACCTAAAGAAGAAACTAAGGTAGAGTTTAAATGGACCAAAAAGGTAGACACTGAGTTTTGTTTGGGTGGGTGTTGGCTTGTAATGGGAGTCCTGGACAGAGGTCAAGGATAGAATGAAAGGAGATGAAGGAACCTAATACATTCGCATGCTGTAATTTACTAAAAGAATAAAATATCCTAAAAAATTGATGTACTTATGAAGGAAAATATTTTTGGTATACAGCTAGGAAGCTCTGCTGAAATAGAAATATCTGCAAAAACTCACTACCTGAAACACCCAGTGCCTTTGCCAACAGAACTCAGCTCTGAAAGGAAGATCAAATCAGAATCCACCTCAGGTTTGTCTAGAGTAATTCAATTTTGTTTTCATTCTTTTCTTAAATAATTTTATAGTATTATAATTAGTAGTTTGAACTTATTTGTGTGTTTTTGTCATCAATGTTTTGTCTTTCTCATATCTATATTCTATATATCTTTTTAGGTTATGAGGTATTCAGGTACCTGGGACTTTTTCTAATTGCCACATAGTTCATAATACAGATCTTTGTGTATGGGAGTATAGCGTAGCACTGGCAGGTTGAGTGAGTGAAGCATTTAATATTACTTCATAAATGTGAGCTTTTTAATCAGGTGGAGAAAAATTTGCCTTTTTGGATTCTATCAATTTACAGGCTATAAGTATGAGTCATATCTACACAGAAGAAATATCAGCTTTCCATTTCTTGTGCTATTTACCTCTATCAGTTTTGTCTAGTTTAGATACCAGGATAACTTCCAGCATTAAATAGTGAAAAATAGCACCAATTATAATACTGATAACTTTGCTAGTATTAGATACTGGCAATTAATACTTTGTGGGACCAAATAGTGACAATTATACTTTCTAGGCAAATACTACCATGGTTTTACTGTGATAAAAAAGAAGGCAACAGAGTGTTTAATACCATTTCAATAGTGTGTTCACATAAACCCACCAGTCACTGCCTTGCATAGGTTTGTCTATCTGTACAATGTGAATGGTACTAACCATGAGTTGTCTTATTGCAAAGGAAATAGGACCAACTCAGAAGTAGAGAATTAGGAAATAGTAATCATGTCCGCCCTTTATTGAACACCTACTGTGGTGCAAAGAGCAGTAAGTATATTATGTTATTCAATCCTCACCCAAAAAGCAAAACAAATAAAAAAGACTCTGGTGTATATGTAATTATAATCATTTTATGATGAAGAGACTGAGACTCAGAGAGCATAAGTAGCTTGCCCAAAATCATACAGCTTATGAGTGGCAGAGTTGTGTTTATAGTCTAGATCTTCCTAACACCAAAATCAAACCTCTTTTCTTTTGTGTATAGATTATCTAATTTAAAACCAGAGTTTAGTCTCAAATTTCAGCCTCCTCCTCTCTCACTTAATCTTTATAAGGCCATCAATGACTAACAAACTCGATTTGAGTTTTACTATTTTCCTCTGTCACCTCTCCTTTCTAATCAAGAAAAGTTATGCAGTTTTTAGACTCTCGCTGATTAATCAACAGTTGACCATATTCCCACAAGTATATAATATATCTGGTCATTTTTCTAAATGTCTGTCAATTCCAAGTATCTTTGTGGAGATGAAACATGTTACAACTTAACAGTGGTACCAGACCATACATCCAGATTCTGGAACCCTTTACCCACCCATCATGGGTAATGTGGGATATGAAAAGCATTCTAAGGAGACATGTTGAGGAGAGAGATATGCCAGTACTATTCATCTTGATCATGTATCATTCAGAGTTGATTATACAGTAGACCCTTGGGCTTCACCATTTATACATTTCACATGCAATCCCAAAGGTCTAAGACATAGGAAACAGTAGTGATTATGAGCACAGATTTTAGAATAAGACCTGGATCTGAATCCTAGATCCAACATTTACTAGTTCTATTACCTGGGGCAAGTTATCTTATACCTCAAGCCTCAGTCTCCTCATCCATAAAAGGGGGACAATAATAGTGTTATTCTCACATGGTTGTTGTGAGCATTAAATGAGATACTACATGTAAAGCACAAAGTATAATGTCAAGAACATACTAAGTTCTCAATGAGCGTTAGAAGATAATATTATCGTTTGCCTAGAGTAGAGTAATTAGCCATTTTGCCGATAAATTTATTTTCATTGAGCACACTTTGGGAGCATGTTACTTAGCTAGGGAGCCTAGCCATGGCCACCACTTATAACCATACAGAATGGACTGGATGTACTGTCCAACTGTATATTGTGGCTCTGAAGATGAGTTTTGTTTTTCTCTATCATTCATATACATTTATGGTGAAAATTATTTTAGGAATCACAAATCTGGAAATTTGGTGACATGGACCGTTTTGAAATCTGATGAAAGCAGAATGAAATCTCTCACAAGATTAATGTCCCTCTAAAGCAGAGGTTGCAAACTATGGCCCTTGTGCCAAATCTGGCTCACTGCCTATTTTTGTACATTCCACAAGCCGAGAATGATCTCTACATGGTTTAAATGGCTGAAAAAAAAAAAAAAAAACAAAAGAATAGTATTTTGTGACAAGTGAAAATTATATGAAATTCAAATCTCAGTGTTCATAAAGTTTTATTGGAACACACCCACACTCATTCATGTATGTATTATCTGTGGTTGCTTTCGTACTGCAATGGCAGGGTTGAGCAGTTGTGATGGAAACCTTATGTTTTACAAAGTTGAAAATGTTACTCTCTGGCCCTTTGCAGAAAAAGTTTGCTGATTCCTGTTTTAGAAGGATGAGGTGTGCCATACATACATGACTCCCCTTCATGATATTTGTGAGATTTTTTTATGGGTCAGGAGACTAATAGCCAAGTTCAAAACCTCTGAAGGGAAAAACTGAATTTCCTAGTCTTTTAGTGTGAGGGAGACAGAAACTTGTCATGCTCTCCTTCAGAAGCTTGGGAGTGCCATACCTGAGGAACAGGGAGAAAGCAGAGGTTGACTTACTCTTACTAAAACTGCAACTCAGGTCAATGCCTGATTGGATTGAGAAGATAAGCATTTCACCCTTCCTAAAAGAGGAAAAGGGTCCCCCTCTCTGGTAGAAGATATCATCTGGAGCTTCTGCAATTCTTTTATACACAGTGTCCACCATACAAACAAAACACTAGTCAAGCAAAGAGGCAGGAAGATGTGATTGGCAATCAAAAGAGAAAAGAAATAGCAGACCCACAGGTGATCTAAGGTGATCTGCTTGAAGTTAGCAGAAAAGGACTTTAAAGTAACTATTATTAATATTTTAAATAGAAAACATGAACAAAATGGATGAAAAGATGGAGAATTTCATAAAAAATTGGAATCTCTTAAAAAATCAAGTGGATAATCCAGAAGTGAAAAAAACAGTACCTGAAATTAAGAACTCATTTGATGGGTTTAACAGTAGACTATATACAAAAGAGGACAGAAGTAGTGAGATCAAATATAGCTCAATAGAAAATAGCCAAACTGAAGCACAGAAAGAAAAAGGAAAGAATAGAACGAAGTGTGAGACAGTTCTTTGCAGTGACTATTATCTTTAAGTGTTTCTATTATTGAGAAGCTGAATGCTGAATATCATCCCAATTTTATACAAAAGAAACAAAAATAGAATTTCTAACAATCCTAACTTCACTCAGCAATTTATTAGTGATCTGTCCCATTTTTTGTACCTAACTTGCTTGAAATATAAATGAGATAATATGTGAACTAAGTTATCAGTGAACAGATATCACCTAATGGCTATTTGACACAATAATTCATTGCCGTTTTATAACTTTAAACATCTATATTCTTTTTCTTTCCTGTTTGTTATAACACCAGCTTTTTTAACAGTCTGCAAAAAAAAAACTAAGCATAAAATGTTTTTTATTAGAGATTAAAAATATGATAAAGCTCAAAGAAAAGCATTATAATGAATAGAAGATTGAGATTCAAGAAGAGTTTTATGATTGCTAATCTTTTGGGAGGACAGAGAGCCCTTGATCAGCTCAAGGGGTGAAGAAATTTCTAAGAGGAAAGATATAATCCTTAATTACTCAGAAAAGCATGAGATGAATCTTTTTAAAAGGCAGGAATCAAATGACCTAGGCTAAGTGATTCTAAACCAGCAGGATCCACATCACAATTACTTGAGTTTTTTTTTTTTAATTCACTCTACCCAAGAATTATAAATCAGAATCTCCAGAGGTGAGGCCTCCAAGCAGGTGGATTGTAGGAAAAGCTCCACAGGGTATTCTCTATGCATATTCCTCTAGTTAATAATTTCTGACATAAGCTATGGAGAAATTAAAAATTTGAAGCCTTTCAACAAATTTTGAGAGGTGGAGAGATCTAAAGGCAAAGGGGTCTTTCAAATTTGGGTGAGCTCTATTTTTGACCAGAGTTTGGACAAGAATATAAATTAAGAAAGTGAGTACAAGTGTTAGAGAACTTAGTCAATCGGTTAACATTGTTAAGTGAATTAGACACATTCAGACTCATATAAAATAATTATTTACCGCATGCTTACTACAGTATGTCTGTCTGATAAAGAGGAAAACTATTTCGTAGTAGACTTTTCACTTGTACTGAGCAAGGGCTTCCACCAGGTGGCAGTAAGAATACATTTGAGAAAGGACAAGCAGAACCACTAAGTTTCTTAACCTTTTTTGTGTGCTACAGACCTCTTCTCAGAATAATGTTTTTAAATGCATAAAATAATATACATACTAATATATGAGCTTCCTTAAATTTATTAAACAACAATATCTAACAACAGATCTAATGAAGGCCATGGTTTTGAAGTAGTGGTAAGTGTAACTATTTCTAGATATCTGCAACTGCAGTGTGATATGAAAATATCTGTGATTTCTATTAGTGACAAAATCTAGGGTACTCCTAATGCTATTTTTGTTTGTTGCCTACATTCGTTATTGAAGAAAATGTTCATTTTCAGTCAGAAATTAATGAAAATAAAGACAAATTTTCCCTATTCAAGTTCATAGATCACATGAATTCTATCCACAGACCCCAGAAAGACCCCAGGTTAAGATTCTCTATCCTATGGAGAACTATATTAGTGTCATCAGTAGTGATTATTTATGATCTGGTTGTTTTTTAATATATTTGGTGGTGAAGTTGCATATAGGTATATCACACTTTATAAAAAATGTTTCTGAAAAGATAGGTGTAAAATAAATCATTGTATGTAAATCTATTTCTCCCCTTTGCTTTCATCATAAAACTAGAAATTAAAATCCTCTGGAAAAAAGGTGTGTTTCCAAAATGTAATAAAATCATTTTAAAATGAATCAGATTTTGAAAAAAATATTTAAAATAAAAACAGATTTCTGAAAAAATGTTTTTAGTCTTATGTCACAAAGTAAATATAAAAATTGTTGTTTCTTTCCTACTTGCCATGCACAGGGTATTATATGCAGCACTTTGTGCACATTATTATATTGAATACTAAAAATAATTGTATGACATTGTTACTACTCTAACCCCCATTTTACAGAAGAGTGAGGGTTGTTGTGTTGGAGGTCAGACAAACCTGGATTCGATCCTGGCTCCACCACTTATCAACTGAGTGACATTGGTCAAGTTTCTTAACCTGTCTAAATTAAATTTCCTTATCTGTAAAACAAGGATAATATAAAAATATCATCTATCTCATGGTGGTATTGTGAGATAATGCATGAAAATTACGTAGCATCTTGCCTGGCACACAGTCAGCTTATCAAGATCACCATTGATCCACCCATTGCCAAATCCAGGAGTCCATTCTCAATCTCTATCTTCTGGAATCCATCAGTAACTTTTAACACAAGTGATTACTCCCTCCTCCTTGAAACAATCTCTTCACTTGGCCTTCACTTGCTCTTGGTTCTCTTACCTCACTGACTGGCTGTTCCTTCTCAGTCTTCTCTGCTACATTCTTCCTCTCTTCTTAATCTCAAAACGTTGGAGTATCCAAAGGGCTCATTCCTTGGACTTCTTCTCTGACGCTCTATATGACCCATGGTTTTAAGTACCATATATAGGCTAGGACTGTAAAATTTATAAACCAGCCCAGGCTTCTCCTCCACTCTGCAGACTCAGATGTCTAGCTGCTTACTCAACATTTGTACTCAGATGTCTAGTTAGTAATTCAAATTTAACACCTCCAAAACTTAACGCTTCATTTGCCTTCCCCCAAACATGCTTCTCCCACATTTTTCCCTATCTCAGTAAACATAAACTCCATTCTTCCAGTTTCTCAAGTTAAAGAGTCTTTCTCACACAACATATTCAATCCGTTTAGGAAATCCTGTCCATTCTACCTTCAGAAGTTATTCAGAATCCAATCCCTTTTCGCCACCTCCACTGCCACTGCCCTAATTAAAGTCATCAGCATCTCTCTCCTGGAGTACTACAATGGCTTTCTAACTGGTTTCCCTGCTTCCACCCTTGTTCCCCTATAGTCTCTTCTTCCCATGGCTAAAAGTGATCTTTTAAAAAACATAAAATCATGTCACTCTTCTGCTTAAAACTGTCCAGTACCTTCTCATCTCACTTAAAATAAAAAAGAAAAACCTTACCATGGCCCTGTGTGGCCTAGCCTTCAACTGTTTTCTGATCATGTCTCCTATCAGTCTCACTGCACCCACCATCACCACATCTTGCCTACTCTGTTCCAGCCATAATGGCCATTTTGTGGTTCCTCAGACATGCCTCAGGTCCCTTATACTTGCTGCCTGCTCCTCAGATATCTGCAGGGCTCATACCCTCACCTCTTTCAGTTCTTGTTCAATATCAGCTTTCTAGAAGGCTTTCCCTGGCCACCCTATTTAAAATTGCAAATTACCCAAGCACTCCATATGCCCCTCCCTGTTTTATTTTCTGCATAGCACTTACCACCATCTGATATGTCTTTTACTTGATTTATTGTCTGTCTCGCCCAACTTGAATGTTAGGTCCATGTTGTCAGAGGTTTTTATTTGTTTTGTTCACTACTGTATTCCCAGTACCAACAATAAATTTGTTAAATGAATGACTAATTTTTTTTTCGTTTTAATACTTTATCAGGTCCTACACAGTTTATGCCTGACCCCAAGCTCATGGATCACGGGCAGTCCCATCCAGAAGATGTAGATATGTACAGCACTAGAAGCTGAAATAGTCTGCATAGAGAACTACAAGATGTGTGAAGTTGCAAATAATGATGAAAACATCATGTGATGGGTAACTGTGACGCATCGAGTATAACTTAAACCAAGGTTTTTCCCTTACATCTTCTAATGTACAGTTTGACCAATCACATAAGTGATTAAAACACAAACTATGTACACAATTAAAACAATATTAAATGATGAAGAGGCAGAGGTAGAAGTATTAGGATGCATTTGATGACTTTTAATGGTGTTTATGAAAAAAAAATAGAATATATGAACACTGATGAGACTAAAATCTGAAAAAATATGTATGTGTATATATAAATATTTATACACATACACATATGTATTTGCTTTAGCTTTTCTGAATTAATGTCAGCTAAATTAGAATGGTGTGTGGAAGAATGTGTTTCCTCCTGCCCCCTTTTTTTCATTTCCCAGAGCTGGAATAAAATATCCATACTTTATGACATTTGAGCTTGGCTTTGTCTCTTTGTTTTATTGATGTTAACTCCTCTTAAATGTCCAAAAATAACTCTATTTAAGAGGACCATATGCTACATGGGACCCCCGAGGCTGCTTAGCAGTCCTACTAGTTCCTAGGTAGTTTCCTATTCTGTTCCCCAGGAGAGGTATTACAGACCTTTTATTCCCAAGCCTCCTATATTTGCCAAAGATGACTGTGTCTCCTATTACATTAAAAAAAATAAGATATTAGACGTGACCATTCCCAACTTCTTCCCATCTCCTTTCAAAAGACTTACTTCTTTTCATCCATGCAGCCCCCTTTTCCAAGGCTAATGCTTCTATTTGTGTTCCTGATCTCATTCCTGCCCATCTTTTCCAATATCATAGTGCCCTGTTTAATCTTCAGTCTTTGGTTTCTCTTTTCACTCATCTATTTTCCTCAGCCTCTAAATAGCTTCAGATCTTCTTTATCCAAAAACAACAGTAACAAAAACCTTTACCTAACCGTGCCTCTTCTTCTAGAGCTATCTTTTCTTTCTCCTTCCTATGATTGCCGTACTTCATCAAATGAATTAATGTCACTTTCTTTCTACCTCACTTTCAATTCCTCTCTAACTTGAAACACCCTGGCCTCTATATCTGCTTGAATTTTCTGTAATTATTGACTCTCAACCACTCCCTTCTTGAAACTCACTCCTCCCTTTTCTCTCTGTTATTCTTGCTTCCCTTGTTATTCTTCATTCTTCTCTTAAATGCTCAGGCTCCTCAGGTTGCATTCCTAGTCTTCTTTTCTCATTCTATATGCTCTCTCATTTTCATTCAACATACTGTACTGACTTCAGCTACCATTTATATGTCCTTATTATTTACATTTCCAGCTCCTATATTTCTCCAGAGCTATAGACCTTTCTTTCTAGTTATTTATTAGTTTATCTACCTTACACCCCATAGATATCCCCAGTGTCAATATGCCTAAAACTAAATAGTCTCTACCTCTCTGCCCTAATCTCTGTTTCTCAAACCTATTCTACCTTCTCTAATCCTTGTTCTCATTTAAGTCTTTATCATCACTTTCCTGGATTATTACAGTAGCCTTCTGGTTAATCTGCCTGCCATCACTCTTGCTTCCTGTCACTTCAGAATGTGTTCTATTTGCAAGTAACAGTAAACCAGGTAACATTAGCTTAAATAAATAAGAGTCTATTTAAAGTCTGGAATTAGGTTGTACAGGGTTGGTACAGTGGCTCATTGGTGCCATCAAGGACCTAGACTTTTTCTCTTTCCACTCTGCTCTTTAGCATGTTGATTTATCACCTCATAGTCACAAAATGGCTGCTGTACCTATGGGGAGCATATACACATTCAAAGCATGAAGAAGGGTTAGGGCAAACTGTGTACCAGATGCTTCTGACCTCTTTTTATCAGAAAAGTAAATGCTTTCTTAGAACCCCTCTCAAAAGACTTCTGTCTATATCTTGACCAGAACTTGTCATGTAGCCACACTTAGCGCAATGAGGATTGGCAAAACATAAAACATATTTTTTTCTATCATGAGGAAGGCAAGGGGTAAGGGACTTGGAATGGGTGTTGAGTTTGAGTTAACATACAGTGTCTGCTACCCTATTCTTCTAACCCATCTGTCATATTATTATGAAATAGTTGTCTAACAACTATTGTGGATAGTTGTCTTTCTGAAAACTTCAGTGGTTCGTCATTGCCTACAGAATCAAATCAAGACTCCTTAGTATGACATATAAGGCCCTTCATATATGATCCCAGCTCAACTTTAATCCTATCTTCTCTCTCCCCACCCACCCTGCTGCCAATGTATGTTATATTTTATCTGTAACATAGCACTTGCTTCTTGGACATGCTTTGTTCTTTTGTGTCTCTTTTTCTCTGCCTATGCTGGTGTCTCATCTTAGAATTTTTTTCTGTCTCATCCTGCTCTATATTCTAACTTCTTGTTCATTCTTCAAACCCAATTCCAGTGTCACCTTTCTCAGTTCTCCAAGGTAGGATTTAGATGCTCTCTCTATATTCCCTCACACTTGGTATTTATAGCTATCATAGCCCATACAATTTATTATAAAATTAAAACTAGTATTTTTTTCACAGACACGGCTCCTTGTGGGTATGACTGAATCATCTTTCTGTAGCTTTTATGCCCACAAAATACCTGGTACATAGTAGGAACTTATATGTTCTACCGTGCTGGTTGTAACACAGGATGTAAAAATAATTATAATTCTATCAAAGGGCTTATATTCTACTAGAAAGGATAGAAACATGTACAAATACAGTGTTATATGTAGTATCTGCCCTAAGATAGGTACAACCAAAGAGAAGTAGATGTTCAGAGATGGAATGTAGTTCTGGGATGATGTCAAGGAGGCAGTGGTACTTGAGCTGCTCAAGGTGGGGAAGCAGTTCATTTACTAGTTTTTCATAAGTAAGCTCTTCATAATTTAGCTTCAGTATTTTAAGTAAATTTTTTGTACCTCAGATCTGTTTATAATCAAACACACTCATTTTTCATCAAATCTAAGACACATTACTTACCGCTAAGAAAAAAGTACTGCCAGTTGGTCATTATAGTTATCCCAATGTCAGATATGTTAAGATGTGAAAATATAAGCATCTTAAATTTAGTGAGATGTGGTAGGCAAAAAATAAATATCCTAAAGCCAAGTATAAGTGATTTTTGAATTATCTACTCTTGAATCATCAGCTCTGCTACTAGCCATTAGTATATTATTTTGGATAATGGAGAGTTGACTGTATCTGCAAAATATGTTTCAAAGTAAAAGATCTGTTCAAACCAGAGTTTGGTCACTTGCTGTATTGTACAACACTCAAAGTCAAACTTTTGTTGGACTCAGGTGACATTCAAATGTGGGAGCCTGTGTTGTTGGGACAAGTTGTGATGAGTCATCTTTCACTGTTCCCCTGCCATGTCCATGAGTTCTTCTCTGTTAAACCTGAACAGATGCCAGCCCTCCTCAGAGGAAAGGTCTAAAGCCCCTCGACGAGTGTAGTAGTCAATAGAAGCCTGGTTCCAAATGACGACAAGAAAGTGCATGCAGTTACAGTGGCTTCTGATGGCTATCTGCTTAAAAACAGAGATTACTTTTACTTGAAAGTATAGTCTTCATTAACGCATTTATTTTATTGAAGGTCGACTATGTATAGGGCACTGTGTGTGTATAATACTTTCAAATAATAATACAATAGTTATCTCTTGGACTTCTCTAAAGCTGTAAAAAGAAAAAAGTCCTACTGCTGAATTTTAAAACCCTTTCTTTAAAAATCCAAAACTGAGGGGCTGGCCTAGTGGCGTAGTGGTTAAGTTCGCATGTTTTGCTTCGGTGGCCTGGGGTTCGCAGGTTTGGATCCCGGGCATGGGCCCATGCACTGCTTATCAAGCCATGCTGTGGCAGGCTTCCCACATATAGGGTCGAGGTAGATGGGCATGGATGTTAGCCCAGGGCCAATCTTCCTCAGCAAAAAGAGGAGGATTGGCAACGGATGTTAGCTCAGGGCTAATCTTCCTCACCAAAAAAAAAAAAAAAAAAAAATCCAAAACTGATGTGCAAAGTCCACTCATTGGTTTTTCTATAAATCCAATTCACTGTTTTTTTCTTTGTTCTATAGAAAAAGTTTACCTAAAGTTCTCATATGTGTTTCCAAAATACAAAAGGATCTTGTTTTTATACTATTCTCATATTCATACTGTGGGCCTATTTTATGGATAAAATTGGCTTCTAATCTTCGTCTTGCTTACTTCTGCTTTATAGCAAATAAGTGTATAGTGTGGATGTGGATTATACAGAAATCAATTTTTAATTAAATGTAATTCAAATATAACCTATATGAGTGTCTGATTTGAAAATCCAGTTTAATTGGAATAAAAATATTAAGTACATTTTTAGGTTATATTCAGATGGTGAGATAAATCATCTAATTTATGCCCTATTAAATAATAATATTTGATGAAGAAAAGGATCACAAAAAGAATACATACCTGACTTAGCCTCTTCAACATTTCAGCCCCAATACCTAGACCTTTTAAATAGATAATGCAGAATGAAAAACTGTTTAAGTTGAAAAATTCCACTTAACAAGTTACTTGCTTTAGTTTAAAAGAAATAAAATATAAAACCCTGTATCTGGTGGTTATGTATTCTTAATAGCTTGTGTTGAAACTCAACTCGTGAATGTTTTTCATGTCTCTTTTTCCTAATTGAAATGTGGTTCCAAAGGTAGTAGAAAAGATTTTAGATTTATTTTAAAGATCACTGGAGAGGAACTGATTCCCTGTCACTATCATCACACAGTATACTTCTTAGTCTTTTCTAGACAAACCAACCCAAAATGTAAAAGCATTTTTTAAAGATACAAATATAGCTATGATAACTTGGCTTATTCGAGCCTTGATGGGAACTAATAAGAAAATCTTTTCCTAATATGATTGTGTCTTCACCATATGCAGAGTTAACTAGGACAGTGATTAGGATCATGAAATAGAAATGAGTTACACAAACTAAGTTAAACGCCATATTTATACTAAAGCCCTATCGCTCCTCCTTAAATTAAAATATACTATTTCCATTTTTAAAGTATAAGTAATACGATAAATGTAGCTTGACCTCGGTAAGCTTGTATGACATAAAAGTCTTCTAGGTAAAGTAACTTGCCAATCCAGGGGTCGTATGTAAAGTAGTACATGGCAAATCCAATGGTTACTTTGCCTAGGTAGAAGGAAGAGAAGGTACAAAGAGGTTAATGCTTTGAGTCTTAGAAAGTTCTTTCCTCCAAAATGGAACATCTTTGTTATTTTTTTTAACTACTAAAGTAGTAAAAGCTCACTGGGGAAAATGTCAAACAATACAGAAATGTGTAATGTAAAAGGTTTAAGTCTGTTATAATACAACCTTTAAGAGATAAGCCATCTTTTAACACTGTGGAATATATTCTTCCAAAATTATTTTCCTATGCATATACAAAACATAAGTACATACCACACATCTTCATTTTTAAAAAACAAAACTGAGTTTATGTACTTATACTCTCCTCCTCTGCTTAATAGTAATTATAATCTACTAAATTATACTTTGTTTTCAGGCTAGAGAAGGAAGATTAAATTAGAGGAGGAAGATTTATTTTACCTGATGGTTTTTGTTGACTCTGTACTTCTGCAATTAAGCAGTAGAAAAGGGGATTGTCCCCAAAGCCATCCCTGAGTAAATCTGAAATAGCAATTCACATACAATATTTTAGAAAGTTTACAGTAGAGAGAAGGAAGATGGTGGAGTGGGCAGCCCCAGGAATTCATCTCTTGACCTGTACAACTGTACTGGCAGAAACTGCCTAAAGTGAATAGTTTGGGAGCTGCATGTTCCAATTGAAATTGTGCTGATCCAGCCTTCGGCCTGACTCCCTTGGGAACAGGCTGTTTCATTGGAACTGTGTTGATCAACCTTCAGTCCGATTCCCTTTGGAACCAAACTGTTCCATTGGAGCTGCATGGATTCAACTTTTGGTCCACGCTACTGAAATCAAGACTATTCCTATTGGGACTGGGTAGCATTAAGCTTGCAGGTGGTTTGAGCTATTCAAGCTGTTGGAGTTGCAAGCTGTTTAAGCTGTTTAGGCTGTTTAAGAATTATTCCTTTGCTCTAGAGAAAAACTTCTAAGAAATGGGATCCCAGTTATCTAAATATTTTAAGGGTGCACCCCCTACAGGGACCCTGGCTAATTTTATGTTTAAAAACCGCCCTCATTCCTAATGCACATTTTTAACTGAATGGACCAACTTAACCAAAAGTAATTTAGAATACCAGTGGCCATTGTGGTGAACTTTTGAACTCCCTAACTTACTTTTCTTAAAACCGAATTGGACAACCATAGCTCTGTAATTTCCAAAACTAAATAGAATGCCTATTTTGATTGGTATTTTGAGGCTTCCAAACATTACCAGGAGTCTAAAATTGCCTCTTTGCAAAATAAAATTTTAAGATTAACTGAGGCAAACAAATGATTAAAGAAAGATAAAATAGCCTCTGAAGCCTCGTGTTCCTCTCCCCTGGCTCCTCATGCCCAGGCTCCGCCTCTGGCACCATATCCCTTCTTCCCTTCTATACCACCTACACTCCTCAATACCCTCAGTTCCCCTGTACTTACTCTCGCCGAACTTCCCCTTTTCCCTGAAGCTCTCCCCACTCCCTCTTCCTCTGAAACTATCAGAACCTGTCCCTTTAAAATTAAGCCTTCTGAGGATCCAAAGGCTAAACCCTTAATTTCTTATTCCCTGAAGTAAAGCTGAACTGCGAGCCACAGTCAAAGATTGTCCCACAGTAACTGAATATCCTCACAGCTTTGCTGAGGAATTTAATATAGTCCTTCAAACTTGCCAACCTGGGTTCTCTGACTTACATCAGCTAGTTCATACGCTTGTCAGTGAAGGCCGGGCTCAGCATTGGATGAAAACTGCTAATTGGGAAAATCCTGAAAGGTCTCTAGAATTACAACCAGGTGACAACCTGCTGAAATGTATGTATAATCAATCAGGCTCAGGCAATCACTAGATGACTACATTGGACACTCCTAAGGCTTTCCCAAAGCCTGTTGATTGGAACAAAATTCAGCCTTGTGCAAAAACCTGATGAGCCTGTTTATGACTATTAAAATCGACTTCAGATTGTTTTATTAAAAAAAAAACTGGTCTTCTTTCAGATGTTGGTTCCACCTGAGTAGCTTTTAATTCTACATTTATTAATGGGTTGAACTGGGATCTTTCCCTTCTAGTAAAAAGGATCAGGATGTAATGGGAATCTACGTCCACTCCAGATTCAGTTAATCTGGCAAACCAACTCTCTTGTACTCTAGATGAGTCACCTAAAAGAAAGACCGCTAAAATTCTTACTCTTCAACTCCAGTAAATGAAGGCCCCTAAACAAAACCAAAAAATCTCCTGACTTCTGCTATTATTGCCAACAGCCAGGACATTGGAAAAGAAATTGTTACAAATTTAAGCACTTCAAGTGCCTTCAGCCCTCTAACCAGCCTTTCCAATGTTCTCCAAATTCTCAATGATGGGGCTCCAAGGAAGTACAGGGGCTCTTCCCAATCCTCCCTCTTAATCGGCTCAGAGAAACATTTCTCCAGATTGGAGATGAATTTCTTTCTGTCCTAATTGACACAGGAGCTACACTTTCAGTGCTCAACCCCACTACTATAAAGCAGCCCCTGCCTTGGAGTACTAAAACAGTTCAAATAGTGGGAATTTCTAATAAACCTCAACAGGTTCCTGTCTCTGAATCTATTGCCTTTTGTTTAGGCCCTTTCAGAGACATACACCCTTTTCTCCTTATTTCCTCTGCCCCAATCCCCTATTAAACCAAGATTCTTGGAAAAGTATGCCAGAATTTCTTTCTCCCAAAAGGGGGAAATAAATAATTCTAGAATTTGACAGTAGTCATCAAAACAGCCAATCAACTGAATTAAATGACTCTCTGACATCTTTTATTTCCTCTGTCTCCAATGATACTAGCGCTGATTCTGGAAACACTGATCATTTGTTCCTGTTGAATCAGCTACCACCCTTCTTATGGGCAAAATCTCCAACTAATATTGGTAAAATTCACAGTGCACCTCCCATCAAGATTCGAATAGATCTTTCAAAACCTCTCCCCAGAATTAATCAATACCCTGTAAGTAAAGAAGCTCTTCAAGGTATAAAGCCCATGATAGAGGACTACAAGGCTCAAGGCCTCATTATCCCTTGTACTAGTCCCTGTAATACTCCTATTTTACCTGTGAGAAAACCCAAGGCCTGAAGATGGAGGTTTGTCCAGGACCTCCAAGCAATAAACAACATCGTTATACCTCAACACCCTGTTGTTCCTAACCCTCATACGCTACTCACATCCATTCCCACTGGAAGCAAATTCTTTATGGTAATTGATTTATGCAGTACATTCTTTAGCATTTCAGTTGATGAAGCTAGTCAATATCTTTTTGCCTTCACTTAGGAAGAAAAACAATTTCTTCAGGGTTTTACCGAGAGCCCTTCTTATTTCTCACAAATCCTGAAGGCTGATCTGGATGATATAAAGTTCCATAGGGGTTCTATTTTGTTGCAATATTTGAATGATTTGCTTCTTTGGTCTCCCTCCCAATTCTCCTCACAGGAAGATAACATCCATTTGCCTAAAGCTTTTAGCCTGAAAGGGACATAAGGTTGCCAAAGATAAATTGTTGTTTGCTCAAACCCAGGTTCGAAATTTAGGGCATCTTATATCAGAAGAAGGGCTACACTTAGATCCACACAGGCTTCATGGTGTCCTAAGTTTCCCAAAACCCAAAACTAAGTGCCAACTGCAAGGTTTTCTCGGGCTAGTTGGTTATTGCCGAAATCAGATACCAAATTTGTCTCTTATGACCAAACCTCTGCATGTATTATTAGAACAACAACCCCATCCAAATTTTATGGGAAGAACTGGCAGACATAGCCTTTAAAGCCTTAAAGGAGAATTTGATGAACCTACCTGCCCTTGGGCATCCCAATTATCAGATTCCCTTTTTCCTTTTTGTATATGAAAAGGAAAAGAATGACCTTGGGGTACTCGCCACAAAACACAGGGACTGCCATTCACCAAGAGGGTACTATAGCCAGCAACTGGACCCTGTGGCAAGGGGATACTCCCTTTGCCTTAGAGCCATTACTGCCAGTGCCCTTTGCTTAAGGCCACTGAGAAAAATCGTGGGATCCCCTTTAACAATTTTTGTACTTCATGCTATGGTAGCCCTCCTGAATTCTCATCACACTAAGCATTTTTCAGTCAGCCACCATACCTACCATGAAATCCTGTTGTTAGCTGCTTCTCACATAACTCTTTTATATAATAACCTTAACCCTGCTGCTCTTCTCCCCTCCGTTACCGACGAAGTCTCTTATGACTTTTTGACACTGATGGATCACGTCCTTTCTCCTCATGATGATCTGCAGGAAAATTCCTTTAGATAACACTGAGTGCTCATGGTTTACTGACGGTTCTTATTTAAAAGGTGACAATGGCAAATATTGTGCTGGGTATGCTATTGCAATTCCTTTTGATATTGTAAGGCAGCCCCTTTACCTATGGCTACTTCAGCCCAACAGGCTGAATTATACACTCTTACATGGGCTTGTACTTTAGCCAAGGGCAAAACTGCCAACATTTATATTGATAGTAGATATGCCTTCAGAGTAGTTCATGATTGTGGAATATTGTGGAAGCAATCTGGCTTCCTTTCTTCCAGCAGAAATATAATTAAAATGGCCCCTATATTTAGGAATTACTGGATGCTATACTTTTACCTGCCACTTTAGCTATTAAGATCCCAAGGCATTCTAAACCTGACTCTCTGGAAGCTAAAGGAAATCACCTTGCTGATATTTCCACAATGTATGCAGCCCTTAAAGGAGCCAACAACAGCCAAACCTCTCTCGTGGTCCAAAGGGATATTTCACCAAATGATAGCTTAGAAAAACTGGCTAGAGAAGCCCAACAATTACTTTCTGAGAAGGAAAAACAAGATTAGAAATTCAACACTTGTTGGTTTGATAAAAGGAGAAAGCTCTGGTTGGGACCATATAACAACTCAGTCCCATTAGAGACTCTAAAGTTTCCACTCCTAACCACTGTACATGCATTAAACCACTGGTCTACTGACAAAATGATGGCATTCATGAATCAATATTGGTGGGGAAATGAATATTAACAAGACCATAAAAAGTACCTCCCTCACTTGTCCACCTGTCCAAAATACAACCCAGAGAAGCCTGTTTGAACTGCTCCTGGACATTTTAAACTTCCTGATGAACCATTCAAGGTTTGGCAAATGGCTTTCATACCATTCCTCCATCTCATAGAGATAAATATGTTTTAGTCATGGTTTATATGTTTTCTCACTGGACTGAAGCCTTCCCTTGCAGACAGGCTACTACCTCTTCTGTGGCTAAAGTACTTGGAAAAGATTATCTCTACCTGGGGAATTCCTCTTGAACTTCATAGTGATCGAGGAACCCATTTTATTTGGTCAGGTACTTTGGCAAGTCTCCACTGTTTAGCTAGTTTTACACTTTCACTGTGCTTACCACCCTCAATCCTCTGGTTTAGTTGATCACACTAATGGCATTACTAAGACTCAATTGGCAAAATTTATAGAGACCCTGCAAATACCTTGGCCAAAAGCATTGCTGTTGGTCCTTCTAAATCTCAGATCCATCCCCTTTGGAACTCATAAACTCTCACCATTTGAGATAGTCACGGGACACCCAATGTACTTGGCTTCTGCCTCTTTGGACTCATGGCTGATAAAAAGAGATATACCCTAATATTGCAATGGCTGAATTGCTCCTATTAAAAATAACCATGTTTTGGTAGAGCAATCTTTTCACAGTGCACTCGAGGGAGACAAAGATGTTTAAGAATCACACTTTGCAACCTGGAGATTTTGGCTATTAGAAAAGACACCTCCAGAAGGACTCTCTTCAACCTCACTGGAAAGGCCCCTATCAGATACTATTAACCAACCCTTGTGCTGCAAAACTCAAGGGAATAGACTCTTGGATTCATGTGACACATTTAAGGAAGGCACCAAACCCTGACTGGACCTGCACACCATCTGGTGACTTAAAAGTAAAGATTTCCCAGAATTGAAGCAGACAACACCTGATGAGACAGCTTTCCCAAGATGTTCAGACCAGGCCTATTGGAAGTTTGTCTGCCAAATCTTTGATGATGATGTAAGTCTTTTTTTTTTTTTTTAATTTTTTGTTTATTGCAGTAACATTGGTTTATAACATTGTATAAATTTCAGGTGTACATCATTATACTTCTATTTCTGCATAGATTACATCATGTTCACCACCCAAATACTAATTACAACCCATCACCACACACATGTACCGAATTATCCCTTTCACCCTCCTCCCTCCCCCCTTCCCCTCTGGTAACCACCAATCCAATCTCTGTCTCTATGTGTTTGTTTATTGTTGTTGTTTTCTACTACTTAATGAAGGAAATCATACGGTATTTGACCTTCTCCCTCTGACTTATTTCACTTTGCATAATACCCTCAATGTCCATCCATGTTGTCACAAATAGCTGGATTTCATCGTTTCTTATGGCTGAGTAGTATTCCATTGTGTATATATACCACACTCTTCAGGTGATCTCTAATGCCTATGATCTTGATAACATATGGACTTTAGAAAAGAAAAATGCCTGAGAGTTCTCCCTTCTGTGTGTCCTTATTACTCAATGTGGCGACAGTAGGTTTCTAATTCATGTACTTTTCCTCCAGTGTGGGACATGACACTCAGGAAATGTCCTTCTTGGCATCAAGGGACAAAAGGCTGCTAAAACAAAACAAAAAAAATGACTCTTGATCAGCTATGCTTTCAGAGAAAGATCTCAATAAAAAGGGGAAATGTGGGAATTAATAAACAGAAACCTTATTAAAATGGAGTCAGGAGGCCAAATGGGGAAGCTCTCATGCCCTATGTCAAGTGCAGAGCCAAACAGAAAGAAGAAAGACTTCTTCTTCACCAGCAAGAAGCTCAGTCAGTGAGAGACTGTCACAACTCAGCCAATGAAAAGCCACTACACTTTGAGCTACCAGATTCCTCCAATGGACTCTTTGTTCACACAATGTATAAAGATGTAATCTCTGACATCAATAACATAAAATGGGGGAATGGAAATGTACAGGAGAAGAGTTTTTGTATGCTATTGAAATTAAGCTGGTATAAATTCAAATTAAATTGTTATAACTAGGATGTTAAATGTGATCCCCATGATAACCACAAAGAAAATATCTATGAAATATACACATAAGGAAATGAGAAGAGAATCAAAGCATTTCACTACAAAAATAAACTAAACATAAAAGAAGGTAGCAGTGGAGGAAATGAAGAACAAAAAAGCTATATGGCATATAGAAAACAAACAGAAAAATGGCAGAAATCTGTCCTTATAATACTTTATATGTAAATAGATTAAATACTCTAAAAAAAGACAGAGATCAGCAGAATGGATTAAAAAAAACATGATCCAACTACATGCTATCTATAAGACACTCGCTTTAGATTAAAAAACACATAAAGGTTGATAGTGAAATGATGGGAAAAGATACTTCATGCATATAGTAACCAAAAGAGAGATGGGGTGGCTGTATTAATACCAGACAAAATAGACTTTCAGTCAAAAACTGTTACAAGAGACAAAGAAGGATATTATATAATTATAAAAGGGTCAATTCACCAGGAAGATAGAACATTTGTGCGCCAAACATCAGAGCTCCAAAATATATGAAGCAAATATTGACAGAATTAAGACAGAAAGAGACTGCTCTACAATAATAGTAGGAAACTTCAATACCTCAATTTCAATAATGTGTTAACCACCAGACAGAAGATAAATAAATTAATAGAGTATATGAATAACACTGCAGATCAATTGGACCTAACAGAAATATACAATACACTCCACCCAACAACATAATACACATTTTTTCTCAAGTGCACATGGAACTTTCTCTAGGATAGACCATATGTTAGGCCACAAAACAAGTCTTAATAAATTTTGAAAGACTGAAATCGTACAAAGTATCTTTTCCAATCACAATGAAGTGAACCTACAAATCAACAGCAGAAGGAAACTAGGAAATTCACAAATATGTGGAAATTAAACCATGCACTCTTAACCAATAAGTCAAAGAAGAAATCACAAGGAAAATTAGAAAACAGAGATGAATGAAAATGAAAGCACAACGTATGAAACTTATGGATGCAGTGAAAGCAGTGCTCAGAGAGAAACTTATAGCTTTAAATGCTTACACAAAAAAAAGAAGAAAAGATCTCAAAATAACCTAAACTTACACCTTAAGGAACTAGAAAAAGGAGCAAACTAAGCCCAAAGCTAGCAGCGGGAAGGTAATAAGAAAGATTAGAGCAGAAATAAACAAACTAGAGGATAGAAATACAAGAGAGAAAATCAATGAAACCAAAAGTTAGTTCTTTGAAAAGATCAACAAATTGACAGCCAGACTTACAAAGTTAAAAAAAAAAAAAAGAGAGAGAGAGAGAAGATTCCAGTAATTAAAATCAGAAATGAAACAGTACTACCACTGACCATACAGAGATAAAAAAACGATTATAAGTAAATACTATGAATTGTACACCAACAAATTAGATAAACTAGAAGAAATGAACAAATTCCTTGAAACTGACAAATTACCTAAACTGATTCAAGAAGAAATAAAATCTGAGCAGACCCATAACAAGTAAAGAGTTTGAATCAGTAATTAAAAATCTCCCAAAAAAGAAGTCAGGGAGCACCAGAGGGTTTAACTGGTGAATTCTATCAAACATTGAAAGAAGAATTAACATCAACCCTTCTCAAAATCTTCCAAAAAAACCGAAGAGGAAGAAACATTTTCACAAGAAAAGAAAATTATATCCTTTATTAATAAAGATGCAAAAATTCTCAACAAAATATTAGCAAATCAAACCCAACAGCATATTAAAAGGATCATCCACCATGACCAAGTGTGATTTATCCAAGAATGAAAGGATGGTTCAACATAAGAAAATTAATCGGTATAATACATCATGTTAGCAGAACAAAGGGAAAAATAAAACACATGATCATCTCAATTGATGCAGAAAAGGCATTTAACAAAATGTAACACCTTTTCATGACAAAAACCCTTAGAAAACTCGGAACAGAAGGAAAGTTCTCAACATGGTAAAGGGTACTTACAAAAAAAAAGTTAACTTCATACTCAATGGTGAATGACTGTAAGCATTTCCCCTAAGATTAGGAACAAGACAAGGAGGCCCAATTTCATCACTGTTATTCAACATTGTACTGGAAGTTATAGCCACAGCTATTAGACAAGAAAAGGAAACAAAAGCCATCCAAATTAGAAAGGAAGAGGTAAAATGATCTGTATTCGCAGATGACATGATCCTATTGACAGAAAATCCCAAAGAATCCAAAAGAAAGCTACTAGAGCTAATAAATGCATTCAGCAAAGTTGCAGGCTACAAGATCAACAAACAAAAATCAGTTTTGTTTCTATACACCAGCAAAGAACAAACCAAAAAGTAAGTTAAGAAAGCAATTCAATTTACAATAGCCCCTAAAATAATTAAATACCTAGGAATAAATCTAACCAAGGAGGTGAAATACTTGCATACTGAAAACCATAAAACATTGCTGAAAGAAATTAAAGACCTAAATAAATTAAAAGACATTTCGTGTTAATAGATAAGAGTTAACATTGTTAAGATGTCAATACTACCCAAAGTGATCTAAAGATTCAATGTAGTCCCTATCAAAAGTCAAACATCCCTTTTCACAGAAATGGTAAAGTTGATCCTTAAATTTATTTGGAATTCCAACTTTAATCATCTCTTCTCTTAATGTTCATATTTTCTGCCTAAAAATTTCTAATTCATTGTAAAACACTAGCCTATCCTATTAATATTGCTGTCTACCAAAATGTAGTAAATATCTTGAAAATAGGTTAAGTCATTTTGCTTTTATCCGTTTCATCCTATCAAGCTACTACCAACATACTGGGCATTAAGTTATACTTTATTGACCAATTATAATTCTCCTTTACATTTTGAAAATTAGTTGGTCTATTGCAGCTGTAAAGATGTAAAAGCTCTGTCAATTTCATACTAAAAAATGGGGAAAATATAAAACAGTGGAGCGCCAACAAAGCTTATCAAACTTAGGTCCTGTACATATAGATACTATTAATGGCATCATCTTTGTGTACCAAGGATAGAAGCTTCCACATATCTAGGTACAAGTAGTACTGTGTGCATACATTATGTCATGTTTCTTTTTCTAGCTCTGAACATACCATAAAACATCTTACCCAATGCTGTTAACTTCACTGCATCTAGCATGTTTTCACAGGCAGCCAATTCCTGTCAAAGTAGAGAAAACTTTCAGTCTATGGTTTACTAAGAAATTCTTAAGATAATCATGAAGTTTTTATTGAGCATTTATTAACATATGATGTCCCGGGCAGTAATAAATGTGAGTCAGTCTTAACCCCAGTCATCTAGAAACTTGAAATCTAAAACAGTACATGCAACACTGGACTACATACAGAGAGAAGATTAACGATGTTGATACCTCACTCACATGGAGTTCAATTGTCCAGGTAACTAGCCTTGAATAAATACAACCAGAAATGAGGAAGTAAAGCCAAAAGGGTTTCTGAGCATTTAAGGTAGATGTCACAAAGTCCATGTAAAAAAAAAAAAAAGCTCATAGAAAGGTCTGTCATGTTTGCCTGTGAGGTGTTTTTCCCACTTAACTTTAGACTTTGTTTATTTGGCTTTCTACTATATCATTTTCTTACACATTCAAATTAATTCTTCATGATTTGGATCTCATGCTTGGAAAGGCATTCCCCACTTTCAGATTATAAAAACAATCACTCTTATTCTCTTCTTAATTTATTTTTATTAATTTTATTTTTTCCAGTTTTATTGAGATATAATTTGACATTGTATTAGTTAAAGGTGTACAACATAATGATTAGATATATGTATATATTGTGAAATGATTACCACAGTAAGTTTAGTTAACATCAATCATCTCACAAAGTTATAACTTTTTTTCTCGTCATGAAAATTTTAAGATCTACACTCAGCAACTTTCAAATATACAATATGGTATTGTTAACTATAGTCACTATGCTATACATTAATCACATCCCCAGAACTTATAACTGGAAGTTTTTACCTTTTGACCACCTTCACCCATTTCCCCCACCCCACCCCCCGCCACCTCGGGCAAACACCAATCTGTTTTAAGTTCTCAATCTTAATAATTGATTAACTTTATTTTTTTTTTTTGGTGTAAGAAGTGAGGTGGAATTCCATCTTTATCTTTTCCCCCCAATTGTTCCAACACCGTTTATCGAGTAACTCGTCTTTTATTAACTGATTTGAAATGTCCCATTTATCATATACTACATTCTCATACATACTTAAGAGAACTTCTGAACTCTCCATTGTGTTCCATTGATCTATCTCTGCATCTACGGTAATAGATTACCATAGTATTTTAAGTACTTACAGCTTTATAATATCTGGTAGGGATCATCTCCCCTCATTACTCTTCATTTTGGAATTTTTCTAGAAATACTCACATGTTTATTCTTCCATGTGAAAGTTTGGGGATTTTTACTGGAATTGCATTAAATTTATAATGGAAAAAAAACTTGTAAAATATATAAAGAAGATAGCAAGGGCCAGATTACGTAGAGTGTTGGTAAGAAATTTGGATTTTATTCTCAATACAACCAGAGCCCAATGGAGTTTTGAGCATTTGGGCTGCTGAGTAGAGCACCTCCCCTAAGACATTGTAAGCTCCTTGATGGCAGTGACTATAATTCAATAATCTTTGTATCCTTTATAGTACTTAGCACATGGTCTTCCTCTAATATGTACTCAGTGTTTGTACAATGAACAAAAATCAGATATTAGTAGTACACAGCACTTACCTGTGGATCACCAATGGTCCGAAAAACACACTTTGAGAATCACCATAATAAAAGGCTTTGAATGGCAAGTCTGGTAAACAAGAAGTTATGGTTGCCTAGCTATGAAATGACTAGATTCCCAAATAATGCTGTGGTGTGGTGATTAAGAATAGAATAAAACAGGTGCATACAGAGGATACTTGAAAGGATTTTAAAGGCAGGACAGTAAATAAAACCTGCAAAGTACTCAGCTAATGAATAAATTGCTATGATGGCAAACTCTCATAAATTTCTTTGAAAAAGAGAATGTTTTGCAAAGTTAGCAATAAACAGAAGTTGACAAATGGACATCTATGTATTAGAGAAGAACATAAAGCTCAAAGCTAATTAATCATTACATTCATGTCTATGATGCAGAGTAGGTAATTGAGCTTTTCTATTATTTTTCTACTGTGAATATTCATTAAAATTATTCCCAAGAAAGTTCTAGTGTCTATTCAGGTACATGAGGCAAATTCAGAAGTAAGCATGATCAGGAACTCCACAGATACAGGTTCACTCAAGTGGGAGGGTCTAGTGATGTAGTTTCCCCTCGGTGATAGCAACGGGCACTGTTTGGAAAGCTAAGGAAGGTAAGTTTTCCGAATAGAGAGATTCACTGTCATTCAATAATAAATTTATTAATTGCCAACTGAGTGTCAGATACTACGCTACCTTTAGAATTATTATTAACCTTTAAAATTATTTTTTACCTAGAAAAACGTGCTTCTGGAATAATTAACACGTTGGGCATAGTATTTTGATTGATGAGCTAATCATGCAGATTAATGCCAGTTAGAGAAATGATGGGGGAACTTGTAGGGTATAGAATACAATGAAAGGCATGGAAGGATAGATAATCCAATTCTTACAGATCTGTAATGGGGCCAAGTATCATTTCAACAGATGGATTTCACCAGATAACTTTTGTTATTTTATTTTGGCCATTAAAACACATTCTGTGATGAAAAGGAACAGAACTTGGCCTGAATAAATATATACATACTAGTAGATGGAAACATTTTCATTACAAAACTCTTTTATAAGGTTTCCTTATCTATAATCTGTGCCATGTTCCAACCACATATTTACTCCGTTAAAAATCTCGGCTACTGCTTTCATATGGGCTTTTCTATAGAATTGTTTCCACTGTGCATCACATAAATGATTGCCTTGAGTGCCACAGAACTCCAGCACAGGAACTATGGCTGTTAGTTTGTCCCCTTTACTGTACTAGAATTATTTCCACGAAAACCATTAAAAAGAACTTTTAAATCAGAAATTTTTAATCCAGCTCCTTGGACTCCTTGAGGCTGTTTGTGGTTGGACTTTAAAAGTCAAAGAACTGTATGGAAAACTTGTTGAGGATGAATATTGTTTTCTGGGCAGTCAATCATTAGCTTCTACATGTGGGTGTGGTCTTAAAAGCAACGAGACTCCCTACTCTAAAATCTTAGCCACTAATACCTGAAATTTTATCATAAATCATTTGTTTCAGTTAAGCATTTCTTTTCTCTAAGATCCTCTTTTAAAGTTAAAATTTCCCCAGGAGCGACAACACATTAAGCCCCTGAAATTTCCATGCATTGGTTCCCCTATGACTTTTTGAGCCACCTACTGTAAGTCAAGCAATTTATGTGTAATCATTTTATGTTAATGAATCATTACAACAGTCTTTTAGTACAGATCTCATAGTACAGTCTCATAGTACAGACAGTACTATGATCTTGATTTTAGATGTGGAAATTGAAGTGTAGAGAGGTTAAGTAACTTCCAGACAGCTGTGTACATGGGTCATAATTAGCAGAGCTAGGATTCAAACCCAGCCTATACCTCTCAGCCCTAAACTAATACCACAAACCTCCATGGAATAAGAAAAAAGCAGCTTACTTTAATTAGGCGCAGGATTTCTGGGCAGTCTCGAGCCTCCGCAGGTCTTACTCGGAAAGAGTTCATGCTTGGTTGCCTCGTGCCTGATTGGCTCCTGCCTGGTTGCCTCAAGCTTGATTGCCTCACGCCTGGTTGGCAAGGACCTGGTTGCAACATGCCTGCTGGGCTCCTGCTTCTTTGGCTTGTGCCTGATTGGCTTGGGCCTGGTTGACTCGTGCCTGATTGGCTCCAGCCTAGTTGCCTCAGGCTTAGTTGACTCATGCCTGATTGGCTCGTGCCTGGCTGACTTATGCTTGATTGGCTCAGGCCTGATTGCTTCATGCCTAGCTGACTTGTGCTGGATTGGCTCGAGTATGATTGCCTCATGCCTGGTTCACTCAGGCCTAATTGGCTTGGGCCTGGTTGCCTCGCATATGGTTGACTTGTGCTGGCTTGACTCGGGTACGGTTGCAGTTGACTCATGCCTGATTGGCTACTGCATGATTGGCTCATGACTGGTTGCCAAATGCCTGGTTGGCTCGGGACTAGTTGGTTCATACCTGGTTGCCTCATGCCGGATTGGCTCCTGCCCGGTTGTTTCATGCCCAGTTGGTTGGTGTCAGGTAGGCTTGTGCTTGGTTGATTCGTGTCCGGTTGGTTCATGTCCAGTTGGTTCATACCAAGTAAGCTCGTGCTGGGCTGGCTGGTGCCTGGTTGATTCATGTCTGGTAAGCTTGATTGGTTCATGCCTGATTGGTTCATGCCCAGTTGATTCGTGCCTGGTTGGCCTTAGGAGTAGACTTCAGACTGGTTGACTTGAGACTGGTTGGCCACGAGGATTGGTTGGCAGGTGCTGGGTTGGCAGACAACTGGTTGGCCAGTGACAAAGTATCTTGATGGAACAGGAGCCCTTAACTCTAGTGCTGTGATGGGAGGCTGTAGGATGTTTCCGGTTTTTCTCAACTTGATTCGTACTTCAAGATAGGCCTCTATCAAGATGAGAATGGGAAAAATAGAGGGCTACCTAAAGAAGATTATTGATGCCTCCAATTTGCTGGAGTTGACCTCACCAGCAATCACAGCAGTAGACTTGTCTGTGTTTCAGGTTTTCATCTGGCCTTTCCTCAGCAACAGGCCCCAAGGGAGGGGAAGAATAAAATGACTCTGGAGGAGTATTACCGTCTCACCCCCTTGCACAGTCACTGCGTCATAGTGATGAGGTCACAATGCCCGTATCTACGTGCCTACGTGCTCCCCCGTGTGGTGAAGGAGGGGCAACGCAGGGGCCCACCTCACCACCACTTTATTTCCTCCTCTCCAAGAGCTTAAGAAGATGAAGCAAGAAGCTGGAAGGAGTCTCAGGGCTTATGCTTGGCGCTCACCCTAAGAGTGCCTGCTGTTTTAACCAACCGATTCAAAGATACTTGCCCTAACCCTTTCTTCCCCATGCCCGAGTCCTGAAATAATTCACTTCCTATTTCTGTCCTAAATTCCACTTACTACCTCTTTTCTGTAGGCATAGAAACTAGAATTCTTAAAAGGGTTGTCCTAATGAGGTGCTCAAGTCCCTCATGCAGAAAATATTTCTTCACAAATAACTAAGAATAACTAGGGTTACTATTCATTGAGATCTTTTATGACTTAGGCTCCGTGGGAAGCACTTTACATTTTCTCACTTAATCCCATAGCAACCCTATAATCCCCAATTCTGAGGAAACCAGTTCAAAAGATTTGATAACCTAACCAAGGACTCAACAGTTGATGAAGAGCCTGAATTCAGACCCAAGTCTATCTGACTCCATTTCCAAGCTTTTTACCATCACACTATCCCGCCTTTTACACACACTGTACTTATTCTCCACCCCCATATCTGTGAGATCAGGTATATTATCGTTTTACCCCATCCCACCTTGCAGAATCCCTTCTCCCCTCATTGCTATCTGTTGGCTCATTTCCTCAATAATGTATATTGTGTAACTGATATTAATATTATTGTAGATGGAGTGTCTTTTATTTTTTAAACATACCAGAGAAACTTGGCTGAAGCTGTTCTGAGACTCACACTGTGCTAAGCGCTTTATATCTGCGTTATTTCATTTAACCATTGAAGCAACTCTATGAGATATGTACTGTCATTTCCCTTTTATCAATAAAGAAACTGGAACTTAGAAAGATTAACTAATTTTCCCAAGCCTAATACATGCCAGAATGGGGACAGAGTCTAAGGCCCATCCCATAGACAGAAAGGTTCAAATAAAACCATAGAGCAAATCACCATTTGGCATATACTGGCTATAAATAGAACCTAGAGAGCCTACCTTCTTAGCATGACAGGCAAATCAAGTCACATCACAGAACTATACCAAACCTAACACAAATTAGATTAGGTACATTCCTGATCTTGATACATTTGTAATAATAGTGAGAGCTAAAATTACATGAATGCTTCCTGTGGCGCCAGGCATGGTGCTACGGAACAAATTACTTGTATTAACTCATTTAATCCTCACAACAATGATATTATTATGCCCATTTCTCAGGTAAAGAAACTGAGGTTGAGAGAGGTTAGGTAACTTGACTTAGGTCATACAACTAAAAGTCTACACAAAATAAGGAAAACTCAGTTATCATTTTGGTTTTTCTGAAATGCCAGGAAAAAGGTGAATGAATTTTGCTGTTTGCTTTACAAAATCAAACCATGTGCATAATTTGTTGTGGGGATGAATGATGTTTGTTTTTTGCTTTTTTAGGGGAGGCATGTGTTAGGTTTATGATTGATGCCTTAAAGGGGTAAAATTAGAAATTACAGCTTGGTGATCTAGAACTGTTAAGTTTCTTTTGTATTTTGGCTCATGAAAATTTACATCACTTGAAGGCCACTTAGTGTTAGTTTTTTTCTTTTTAAAGAGTGTTGGGTTTGAACATTATGCAATTGTGATTTTAAGAGGACACACCAAAATGCATATTCTTGCTCACAGTTACTTATTAACACAACTTGTCTTATCTTATAAACACAGAATGAGACTGCCTCCATCAGCCATGCAAATATCTCCACACTGTAGCTAGTATACCATCAGGAAAAAAGTAATTTTTAAAAAATATTTAAACAAAAGCTTCAATAATCAGTTTTTGCCACAAGGTGGCAGTGTTATCCAGTTTAAGAACCAAAAGTCAGGGCAGGCCCGTTGGTGTAGTGGTGAAGTTCACACGCTCCACTTCGGCAGCTTGGGGTTCCCAGGGTTCGGATCCCGGGCGTGGACCTACACACCACTCATCAAGCCATGCTGTGGCGGCCTCCCACATGCAAAATAGAGGAAGATTGGCACAGATGTTAGCTCAGGGACAATCTTCCTCACAAAAAAAAAGAACCAAAAGTCTAAACGATAAATACTGTAAGCTTGTTTATATTTAATAAAAGTGTACGTATTATTTGAATTTGAGGTTTTTGTCATTTTCATATATTATCAGAAAATTTCCAAAAGTATAATTTTAGGCTGAACATACTATTTTATTACAGATCTAGTCTAGGTAGTGAATTTTGTAAGTCAAGACCTGCCAAATTCTATTTCTAGGAGTTCAAAATGTGCATACATTGTCTGCTCTACCAAAATGTTTTTAATTTAATATAATATATAGAGCCACCACCATAGATCTAAAAATATGGATATGTTTATGCATTTACACTCTAATGACTACAATACATAAGATCCCCTTTTCTGAAGATGCTAAGTAAAATCCAATATTCTGAGTTCTGACTCCAGCTTGGTTTCATCTAAATGAATATACACAACTGAGAAAGTCATTTGCATAATTTTCATCTATGGCAAGCAGAGTTTAAATTTGTTGTAATCTCCCTCTACCTCAGAGCCAATAAATTTTTCCTGTCCCTTTTACGTTCACAGGCTTTTTGCTTTTACCCCTGTAAAATGCAAACAAAGAGAAAGGAAGAAAAAGAAAAGGCAGAAAATTGAGTGAGGGGAGCGGGCTTAAGGCAAAGAGCTAGCCTGGAACAGAGCTAGCATATAGAGTATTTTCTGAAATAAAACTTAAAGTACTTTAGAGGCATTCATCAATAAGCAGCACTTAATATTTTTATAATATTTGCTGTATTCTAGATTATCAAAGAATACATGCTCGTTGTAAAACATTTGGAAAATATCTGTAACAGACAGACAAAAAAATTACCTCTAGAGTTTGCTCTGATTGGAAATTAGCATACTCAAGTATTTGGATTTTCTTCCTTTCCAGATATCATTAGCAAATTTCCAATTAAGGGAAAATCATCACTTTGCTTATGCTGTCTAATGCTTAGCTGAAGATGCAGATCAGGGATACACGGCTTTTTTGCTTAGACAAGTTCCCCAACAGTAAGGGAAATCTTACTTTGTGAAAGGCAAGATGGGTCCACAGACTAATCCGGGATGGGGACTGAGAATTAAATTGCTTTGCATATAAAAAGAAGAACTTAGATTATTTTCAGGGACTAGTCTGGAGAAAAAGGCTGAGTATTACAGGAACCAGGAAAAGAGGTTAAATAGAAAGGAAGAGTTCTTGGCTTGAGGAGCAGAACCTGGCAAAATGGTGGTAGGCTGAGGCCTAGGGCACAAGACAGCCAGCCAGTAAAGGTTCTCTTTAAGAAGTTAGTATTGTTTTAAATTGTTTCCTATTAGATGCTGTGTGGAAATATGCCTACCTCCTCTCTAGTAATTTAGTGGAAGTCACTTACCCCACACTAGTCTTGTATTTGTGGTAGTTTGGGGGCATGAAAGTGGAGGGATGAAGGCTACGTGCCAGACAGAGGTGCTGAAAGAAGACAACAGCTGCAGGAGTTGAACCTAGGGACTGGGAGAACAGACTGTAGCTTGGACTGATTTGCGAACAGGTATATAAGGTCACCCTGGAGGAGGAGGGATGGGTAAAGAGTATAGATCCTGTTGTTACCTGGGGTAGGAAGTCAAGATATGTGGTTATTACAGGAATAAGTGACTCCAGAAACTGGGAGACATTTGGGTTGCCTAAGAAATGCATAAAATAGAAATGAAAAATCTCTCAGGATACTATCTGGAGATAACCATTATTTACATTTCAATGACTATCTTTCTACTCTCTCTCTCTTTCTCTCTCTCTCTCTCTCTCTCTCTCTCTATATATATACATTTTTAAATTAAATTGACATCATGGTAACTATCTTTTTGTACTTAACAATATATCACTAGTCTTCTCCAGCTGCTATAGCACTACATAAAACATTTTTAAAATTTGCTATCATTTAACAAATATTTATTAAATACCAACCATGTGCCAAATTGTTCGAGGCCCTGTTGAACATTTATCAAGTGCCAGGTACTATGGCAAATATTTTATATACATAATCCCATTTAATCTTCACATTGAGGTAGGCATAATGATCTCGACTTCACAGAGAAGTTAACCTAGCTGAGATCACACAACTTGGAAATGGTTGAGCCAGGATTCAAACCCAGGACTAGTGTGACTCCTGAGGCCCCGCTCTGAACCAGACGCTGACTCACTTCACTGTTTATGTATATGTTTTCTTTTATTTACCCAATCCCATATTTGATGTGCATTTTAATTGTTTCCAGTTTTGTGGTATCAAACAATGTTCCAGTGAACATATTTTGCAATAAATTTTTAAATAGATATCACTTTAAATATTCCTGGAAGACCCAGAAACTTTTTGGAAAAATAACAGTAGATGAAGCCCAGACAAAAGGTCTATTTAAGATGCTTAAATACCTTTCATTTGATATATGGGACACTTAGGTAAAAGATTTCCCTCAGTATACAAGCTTTAG